ATGGTACTTTACAGTGTCTAGTTGGTGTTTATCGTGTTTAACTCCTAAAATAATTCAATGACTTGTAGCTAGTGTGAGTGTCTAGTGTATTTGTTGTAAGGTTTGTGATGGTCCTGGAGCAATTTTGTGTTCCTTTTTTTATGAATTTATCAAAATATTGCATATTGACGCAAGTTAAAATAAAGACACAGATCTTCAATAATTAACATTGTTTGTTTTTTGTTTTGAATGTCTGAGTTACTAAACAGGAAGCTCCCAGGAGTTTTCTCCCCTGGCATTAAAATGCTGACAAGTTTTCCAAATTATGCATTACAAAAAAACATGTCACCTTATTAGTAAATGTTTAACTGTGGTAAAGTTTCCCATATATACAGTAATGATTTAATAAGTTTAAACCCTCACCATCTGATGACAGGCTGTTCAAACTGATTTTTGTCAGTGATCACTATAACACACTAGCTGGATATATCATTAAACCACACCACACAAGGCTCTGATCGCTGTCCCACACTAGCTGGATTTATAGTTAAACCACCAACACCACACAAGGCTCTGATCGCTGTCCCACACTAGCTGGATTTATAGTTAAACCACCAACACCACACAAGGCTCTGATCGCTGTCCCACACTAGCTGGATTTATAGTTAAACCACCAACACCACACAAGGCTCTGATCGCTGTCCCACACTAGCTGGATTTATAGTTAAACCACCAACACCACACAAGGCTCTGATCGCTGTCCCACACTAGCTGGATTTATAGTTAAACCACCAACACCACACAAGGCTCTGATCGCTGTCCCACACTAGCTGGATTTATAGTTAAACCACCAACACCACACAAGGCTCTGTTCGCTGTCCCACACTAGCTGGATTTATAGTTAAACCACCAACACCACACAAGGCTCTGATCGCTGTCCCACACTAGCTGGATTTATAGTTAAACCACCAACACCACACAAGGCTCTGATCGCTGTCCCACACTAGCTGGATTTATAGTTAAACCACCAACACCACACAAGGCTCTGATCGCTGTCCCACACTAGCTGGATTTATAGTTAAACCACCAACACCACACAAGGCTCTGATCGCTGTCCCACACTAGCTGGATTTATATTTAAACCACCAACACCACACAAGGCTCTGATCGCTGTCCCACACTAGCTGGATTTATAGTTAAACCACCAACACCACACAAGGCTCTGATCGCTGTCCCACACTAGCTGGATTTATAGTTAAACCACCAACACCACACAAGGCTCTGTTCGCTGTCCCACACTAGCTGGATTTATAGTTAAACCACCAACACCACACAAGGCTCTGTTCGCTGTCCCACACTAGCTGGATTTATAGTTAAACCACCAACACCACACAAGGCTCTGATCGCTGTCCCACACTAGCTGGATTTATAGTTAAACCACCAACACCACACAAGGCTCTGTTCGCTGTCCCACACTAGCTGGATTTATAGTTAAACCACCAACACCACACAAGGCTCTGATCGCTGTCCCACACTAGCTGGATTTATAGTTAAACCACCAACACCACACAAGGCTCTGATCGCTGTCCCACACTAGCTGGATTTATAGTTAAACCACCAACACCACACAAGGCTCTGATCGCTGTCCCACACTAGCTGGATTTATAGTTAAACCACCAACACCACACAAGGCTCTGTTCGCTGTCCCACACTAGCTGGATTTATAGTTAAACCACCAACACCACACAAGGCTCTGTTCGCTGTCCCACACTAGCTGGATTTATAGTTAAACCACCAACACCACACAAGGCTCTGATCGCTGTCCCACACTAGCTGGATTTATAGTTAAACCACCAACACCACACAAGGCTCTGTTCGCTGTCCCACACTAGCTGGATTTATAGTTAAACCACCAACACCACACAAGGCTCTGATCGCTGTCCCACACTAGCTGGATTTACAGTTAAACCACCAACACCACACAAGGCTCTGATCGCTGTCCCACACTAGCTGATTTAGAGGTTTATAACAAGGTTAAAATAGTTCCTACCAGAAATCTGTATTATTGATCTACTTTTAATACATAAGACTATTTTCCAGTTGACTTTACTGAGTATTAACTGAATCTAAGAATTACACATTTTTTTTACTACATGACCTCTCCCATTTCTGAAATACATTATTGGATGAGTTTACAATATACTAGCATAGTTTACATATTTTGACAATTTTTTTGTAATTTAAGCTAAACATGGACAAGTAAAGATTAAAGAGAATTTATCTTCGTCATACTTGATATCATGGAAATATAGACATTCCTCATAATGGTTTTATTAATGAAATAATGTTCAAAATTACAGTATTGGCAGTTGAACTCTCACTCTGAAAAGACAACAGTGACCTTCCTTAGTCAGGGTTCTGGCTGTCTATACCCTATTTTACTTTAGTCAATCACAACAAAAATAAATAGATAGTAAAAACCCTTCGGATTAAATCTCCCTCAGAAATTTTGTTGAAATATATCACGAATATTCTAATCGTGGGTAATATGTGATGCTGTAGAAGAGAAATAAAGCAAGGATTTTAAGTTCATATCTTATATCTGCACTGATTTGTATACAATTCTGAATCCAACACTGTTGAAGGCATCGTTTGACTGAGAAAACGCAGTGGGTGAACTAAGAGGTCGTATGACAGCAAAGACAACATTATACACAAAAATGTCCAATTATGCTCCATTCAGGCATGGTTCATCCTGATCACCAGTATAATAGAAAGAATAAGTCTGATTCATTCCAAAAACATTCAAGATCGCTCAGTAAACTTGCTTGTTTCCGTATTGAAAATCATGCGTTAGATAGATTGACAAAATATGTGAACTTTAAGGTAGCATTGGACCTTATTCTCACCCAAGACATTATTATATAGTCTTTTCTCACTTAAACAAGCACGCCCAAACAAAATACAAACGTCCAGACAGGCAGTGTATAAAGGGGCGTAACTCGTGATACAGTTGAGGCCCCTGTAATGACAATACAACATCCAGCGTCTGTTAGTGAACTGTGAGGTGTTAAATTTCCTGAAGTTCAGGTATGCAGATTACTGTCGCTCAACTTCTTTTACAATACTAATTCAGTGTCAGCTAGATAATAGTATCCAAAAACGATGTTCATTTGTTCACTGAATGTTCATTCATCTTTATAATTTATCGTTACACCACCACGTTACTGAACATATAATGAAGAAGCATCTTAAACGATTAAATCTTTGAACTGTTAACTATAGGAACACAAAATAACTGATAACTTGTAAATTAACACATAATGAACTTGTCATTTTGTTCATATAATCGTGAGATATAAAGTTTCTCAAATTGTCTTCTGGATCCTGTTGTTAGAGTCATCGGACTCTGAACACGGATAGGAATATGAGACGTACTGTTCTTTGCCCTCGGACTCTGGACATGGACAGGAATATGAGATGTACTGTTCCTTACCCTCGGACTCTGGACACGGACAGGAATATGAGACGTACTGTTCCTTACCCTCGGACTCTGGACACAGGAATATGAGATATACTGTTCCTTACCCTCGGACTCCGGACACAGACAGGAATATGAGACATACTGTTCCTTACCCTCGGACTCTGGACATGGACAGGAATATGAGATGTACTGTTCCTTACCCTCGGACTCTGGACACAGACAGGAATATGAGATGTACTGTTCTTTATCCTCGGACTCTGGACACGGATAGGAATATGAGACGTACTGTTCTTTGCCCTCGGACTCTGGACACGGATAGGAATATGAGATATTTCTTTACCCTTGGACTTTGGACAGGGATCTGTGGTACCTGTACGTCTTTATACATTCCCAGTACAATGGCACCTGTACGTCTTTATACATTCCCAGTACAATGGCACCTGTACATCTTTATACATTCCCAGTACAATGATACCTGTACGTCTTTATACATGTCCATGCTGAATTACTTGTTTCAGCTGTCTGTAAATTTCATGTTCTTCAGATGTTTCGTAGCTTTTTATATGCGGCCTCTGTGATAGGTAAGATGCCATTGGCTTACTGTGCATCACGTTCTGTCTCCGATTGGTCACGTGGTTCTTTAGATATGCTTTACTGAGAGCATCAGCCATATAACGCTTACAAGAAATAGGTCTTGGATCGTATGTGACGGTATTGGGTAGTCTACTGCACGAAAACGCGTATACAGCATGTAACCGAGGATCATCCCGCAAGTCCCCACATCCTTTCTGTCGCTGTTTTAAGCATATACGGAGACGGATGAACATCAGTACTATGTAGTTCTTTCTGAATCCTTTAAGTTAGTTTGAATAATGTATGGGTCACTTCAATATACGATAATAAAATAAAGTTTAAATTAAATATTTTTATTAGAGACTCGTATTTTCATGTTTTTAGAGACGCAGCCTGGAAGTAAAACTTATTTACTGAAATTGTTTATATTTCTACAGGTAATAATAATAATAATAATAATAAATTTATTCAGGAAAGATTGCACAAATGTATACAAAACATGATAATAAAATACATGTTACATAGTACATAAGGTGAAAAATTGACATAAATAAAACATGCAACACCGGAACATAAAATCACAATAAAGACAGCTGATATATGTTAAACAAATCTATCCAAGGATAGCCCAAAAAGCGTAACAATATACGCTTATTTCCGTTGGGGTCCTATGGCAGGTTTCACCACCTATGATATACTTTAGGAAAAACAAATGATTATATTACAAAAAAAAACCGGACACCGTCCCCGCACTTCGTGTTTTTAATTTTAATTGATGTATTGTATCTATTGTGTGTGTCATTATTATATTTGTTGTTATAATTGTTTTTATATCTGAATACTCGTCTGTTTTATTTCCCTGGCAAAGATATAAAAACGAATAAAAAAGATCATGCGGAATTATAGTTCAGAAAATTTCGCATTTAGAATAAGCAGCGGAAGTCTGAATTGACCTTGACATTGTAATAAATGCATGGCGGAGAGAAGAGAGACGACAAGACGACGAATGTTATGGATTTCAATGGTAATACTTCCCCGATAATTGAGAATCATGGGAGAAAGTTAAAGTTAAATGAATTGACAAATCTAGTGAGATGTCACACATGAACTCTATCATGTTTTCTATGCATTCATGAATGATATCTTCTTTTAGCCGCCTAACGCTTTTCCGCCATTTTGAAAAGGTTGGGCGTTATTTTGTGGTTTGAAAAATCTTACAATGCTTTCTTCTGGTTGCCACTTTGCATTGATAAGTAAGGCAGATTTTATAAGCTATTCATTAGATTCACGTTGTCCACAACTCCGAAACTGATTAATTGGTTGAAAATCCATAGTTTTGAGTAATATTGGGGTGGCCTAAAACTCCCAGTCGTATTTGACATGATCAATAGGACATAAATACTACCATGTAATATTCGTTAAAAAGCCTAATTTACTATAAGATGGCGGTACCTAAATCGGATCACTTTTCTGAAAGAACAGTTTTGTTTTTCTTTTTAATTTTTTGTCTATATTTTTTATACTAAAAATTCATCAGAGCTGATTTTTTTTCAATAACAACATAAACGAAAATCCAGTTCACTATGCCTAATTTCCTGTTTAGTCATTACTGTACAATGATACTTGAAGATCTTTACTCATCCATTCTGTAGTATCATTTTGCAATTTTAGTGACATTTAATAAAAACGACACAAGCAAGGACTATGCTTTGTTTAGGACAGTTGGAATAAGCATAAACAAAGAAAATATTAAGTAACAGATGTCTTCATTAATTCTAACCTGGGTCCAATGTAGCTGTGGCTGGCATTGATGCTTTACATTGAACTGAAGAGAAGTTCTTGCTAGCTGGGCAATATGTTACGGCTAGTATTTACAAGGGTTACATAAAAGTATGCAAATTCTAAAGATAATCACATGCAAATTGTAAGGATAATCATCAAATACTTTTTTAAAGGTAAAATATTGATTTATTTGACCTTATTTCGGTATTGACCTTTCAAAAATGTTCAGAAGGCAAGTTATCAATAATTTGATAGAACACTACAAAATGTACCTTGTCATTATTAATGTTGAGATAATAACTTGTCATTTAGAAATATTGAATTTTAATTCTTTGTTAGTAAGTTACATTTCTGTGATCTTGAGAGGCATCTTTCAAAGAGAATGACTATGATAATGAAATTACAAACGGGCCTGAGCCTCTAATTGTGTAAGAGCACATGTTTATCACATATATATTTACAAACAGTTTGGTAATCTTAATGTCACACGTCCCTGTGACCTGACCTTGAACACTAAACAAAAAAAAATAACAAATCAATGAATGACTGCACAGTCTAATTACCATCATCATGGATATAAGATGTGTTCTGAATACAGTCTAATTACCCACACACTAAACAGATACCATATACATGTACCATCGTCACAAATATAAGATGTGTTCTAAACATACTGATCATTTCTATATTTCAGTGACCTTTAATACCTAGGACTTGTCTACAGAGAAGCTGACATTTCAAAAACAAAATGTCTGACAAAACGTCAGACAGTCAAAATATTGAACTTGTGCTCCACATGGTCAATAAAATGGTGAGTATATATATGGTGAAGTGAAGGAGACACAACAAACTCGTAGAATGTGCTGTATTCAGGAACCATAATCTGTCAGCTAAAATTGGTCAAAGCTGAGGGTGAAGGGGTGCACTAAGGGTTCATCAGGGATAGATAAGGTAGATTTATCTTTTATAAAAATAGATAGGAAGGTTTATCTGATAGAGATATATAAGATAGATTTATCTGATATAAAAATAGATAGGAAGATTTATCCAACTTAGAGATAGATAAGGTAGATTTATCTTTTATAAGAATAGATTGGACAATTTATCCAATTTATTGATAGACAAGGTAGATTTATCTGATAGAGATAGATAAGGTTGATTTATCTGATAGATTTATCTGATACAGAGATAGATAAGATTTATTAGATTTATGAGACAGAGATAGATAAGATTGATTTATCAGAAACAGAGATGAGATAAATTCATCTGATATAGATAAGAGATTTATCTGATAGAGATAGATTAGACAGAGATAGATAAGATTGATTTATCTGATATAGAGACAGATAAGATCACATATTTCCTGATATAAGTCCATTAATACAAGGTAAATTGAGACAAAAATGTTTTCAGTTTTAAATTACAGTATTCTACTGCTTTCAAATAAATAAATTTGTGCTTATCATGCAGTTGATGTCTACTACATGTTTAACCTTACAATTCCAGGCAACAACAGGTTGTTTTATTTGTTTGAAAATTTGCATCCAGATTGTGTCTAAACACAACAATGTATGTAGATACACTGTATGCAACGTATAACATATTTTCATTAAATATCACTGTTGATACTGTCTGTGATAATGGACTTCAATGGAAAACATTAACCTGCATTTCTGAAATTCAATTTTGTATATATTCATCAGGGTTTTCCATAAGAGCCGGTCGCCGGCCTATTTGACCGGTGACTTTGATCATTTGGCCGCCTACACCAATCCAGTTCCGTAATAATGTTCTGTACACGACTACACGTACACGGCAGGCCAGCCTCCTACTTTCACTACACAGCCTACTACTAACAAAATTATGGAAAACCCTGATTCATATTCATATATGACATGAATCGACCGCAGTAATGAAAGATATATATAAACACTATATTCACGTTAAATGCTTAATAGACATTTGAAAAACACACAACAGCATCTTACTGACAACATTATTGTCATGTGATCAATGGAGATAAATCGGGTTACATTGATCATTGGATTGAATTGGTAATGCAGACAATTATGGCTGGCAATGTAGACAATTATGGCCGGGAATGCAGACAATTATGGCCGGTAATGCAGTTATGGCCGGGAATGTAGACAATTATGGCCGGCAATGTAGACAATTATGGCTGAGAATGTAGACAATTATTGCCGGGAATGTGACCGGATTATTGAGGGTTCACTGTATTCTTATTCATTCAGCACATGCTATCATGACACATACAACACACCACTTTTTGTATATGTACACAACATATTGGGTTATTGTGGTGAAGAAATAAGAAGAGGTGTTTGTCATTTCAGTGTGGCGAGTTGGTGGACAAGGGTCTAGAGTACTTTCTGGTGACAGCGGATTCAACCAAGGCCTTAAACATAGGCTCAACAAAGGGCAGACAATTCCTGCAATCCAACAAAGATGTTGTACAACGCTTCATCAAACACTGCTATAGTAAGTATTTAATGCTTATAGTTGTTAATAATAAATGGCGTCCTAGTAGTAAACTGTACTGGTTATAATAAATGGCGTCCTAGTATTAAACTGTACTAGTTAAAATAAATGGCGTCCTAGTAGTAAACCGTACTAGTTATAATAAATGGCGTCCTAGTAATAAACTGTACTAGTGTTTGCCCAAGGTTTCAACAATACTGGATGTAACATAAATTTTTGTCATAAGAGGAATTTCTGAAAAGCCTTTGTTGCTATTGTCAGATTAAAGGACTGGTTTGTATGTCTAGCATCATATGATTTACTACAATTTATATCACAAAGTGAACTAAACTTTCCATTATCCTGCAGGCTTGCCACCATAAGATTGTATCAAGTAAAAAGTAACCAGCATTTTGATAAACTGATCACAAAATATAGACAAATCTCGCAAATTGTTTTGGAAAAATGTCAAGAGTTTATATGAAGGGGCAGGGGTAGACTCATGAGGTAAAAATGATAGTAGAAATTGGGTGACCAATGCCCAACACAAGATAGTAGAAATTGGGTGACCAATGCCCAACACAATATCTCAGTACAGTTTAAGGGGTACAATTGGTTTGCTCATTGTCAGTATAATGTTACTGGGTGTCATGCCTCATTGCCAATATACTTCAGTGAGTTTAAGGGATACGATTGGTTTGCTCATTGTCAGTATAATGTTACTGGGTGTCATGCTTCATTGCCAATATACTTCAGTGAGTTTAAGGGATACAATTGGTTTGCTCATTGTCAGTATAATGTTACTGGGTGTCAGGAGTCTTTGACAGTATAATTCAATCAGGTAGCACACTATGAAGTTGGTTTCAATTCCGCACTGTGACAACAATGCTTACACGAACATATCTCAGCCTCCAAAAAACACAAGTACATACAAAACACATGCACTCGTCTTGCATCCCTAAATGACTCTGTGACTGTTGACAGGATGTTCTGCAATATATACCAAACTTAAACTAAACAGTAATTTTATGGTTGGGTGAACAGAAAGATCCATGGGACTCTACCCTGTAATTTTATGGTTGGGTGCAGTATGACACAGAACAACCCACATACACACTGCTAATGTTTGTGGTCTGTTTTTAGTACTATCTTGTAGTTCCTAGTAGCTGCCTTTAAGCTGATTTTGACTGGATGTTGGCTCATCTGCCCTTCTCCTAGCATGACATCTATTGTCAATTCTCTGTCCAGTGTCATTTTTCCCTTTAAACAACTTCTATACAACTATCGTATCGGGCATATGCATGTTTTACAAACACTTTGCCAATATTGTATTTTTAATTAACTGTAATGTATGTGTGGAATGTTCACATTGGGTCTCTTAATGTGTAAATATCAAAAAGAAATGATTTTGATAAATACAAGATTATGTATTGAAGTGAAGTTGTACACACCTGATTAAACTGTGTTTGATTTACATGTGGGTTATACGTGGACAGAGAACAACACTGCGGTTCTTCAAACTTTGATATAGATATTTGTTTGCATTTCGATTGAATAAGTAGATACAATGTATTAAAAAAATCATACATTTTGTCAAGAAAGTTGCATTTGGCTGTTCAGTACTTTCAACAGAATGTGAAATTTAACAGTATGGGTGTTCATTTAAAATTGTTCATTGTCAGTTTTGGGAAATATATGGAAACCTTATACTTTGCCTTGAAAGGCTGCAATGTTCAGAACAGTAAATATATACAACTCATTTTGTGAAATCTGTTCAAGTAAATAAGGTACTACCGCTGTGTTGTTTTCTGTCTGCAGGTTCCAAGGCGACAGTTAGTGGACAGGGTCAGGGGGAGGCTTCAAAGACAAAACCAATAGAACTGACTGCTACTCCGAAATCAGTGGGACTGACTGCTACCTCCAAACCAGTTGGAGCAAATGATACCCCGAAACCAGTTGCAACAAATGCTACTCCAAAACCAGTTGCAACGAATGTTACTCCAAAAGCAGTTGAAGCGAATGCTACTCCAAAACCAGTCGGATCAAATGCTACCCCGAAACCAGTTGGAGCGAATGCTACCCCGAAATTAGTTAGAGTGAATGCTACCCCTAAACCAGTGGAATCAGTTGCTACTCCTAAACCCGTAGTAACAGCCAACCTAAAACTAATGCCGTTAGATAAACAAATTTCACCTAGTAAAGAAGTTAGATTGGAGACAAATGATGGCAGTTCTTGTAAACAATCATCACAACAGGAGAGGGAAGGAGATGAAACAGTACCTAGTGATATTCTGACAGCTGTTAATTTGTCAGCTGCCTCATTCAAGGTAAAGAAACAGGTGGCTGCCAGTAAATCGGCTCAAACTGAGCTCAAGATGGAAGATCCTCCCTGTAGCCCCACTGAAGATACAGCAGAAACAGGTGAAAGTGGTGAAACAAGCTCCCTCTTTGGGATGTCCCTTCGTGCGAAGCGGAAACGTAAAATATTTGCAGATTGTGAGATGAGTCCATTGATGTCTGGTCGTCATTCATTAAAAAATGAATTGAAAACTACTACAATAAAAAGCGAGAAAAAGGCAAAGGTAGATAAAGTAGAAGGAACTAATGCTAGATCTTGTAAGAATTCTCAGACTTCGAACGAAGAGAAAACGTCAGGGAAGACCAAAGAAGTGAAGTCTGATGGAGGAATATCCAAAAGTCTGTCAGTAAAGTTGGGACCAACGGGAGACAAGCAGACGGAGTTAAAGAAATGCTCTGTGCAATTGTCACATACCTCACTGATTAGACGCAGAGCAGCAAAATCTGTCTGCAGCTCAGTCAAGCAAATTTCAGCAGAATCCACAACCAAAAGGGGAAGATCAGAGGAACAAGACAAGAATATCACAACAGATGATACACAACAAACTGTACATTCATCCTCGGACGATAACTCTGCGGAAATCTCAGTGAAAGGTGAATCAGAGCCAGTGAAACAAGATGCAGAGATCAGTTTAAATCTGGAGTGTTCTGTTAAGGAGGACTCTGACAACGACAATTACAATGATGATGAAAGTGACGAATTCAAAACAGATGTTCAGATGAAAGCGCCGACAAAGAAAACATCAACTTTATCAGTTAAGAAAAGTGTGCTTAGAAAGAGATCAAAGTTTGCTACTCCAAAGGGGTATAATTATTCCTGTTCAATATGCGAGAAAAAATTTAAAGGATCGGGAGCTTTGGCAAGACATACTATTGTACATGCAAAGCAGTGTGTGGCATGTGAAAAAGAGTTTCCTGATCATGAAAGCCTGTTAGTTCACAGGAAAAAGTGTCAGTCTATTAGGACTACCAATAAGCTGTATCCATGCGACAAGTGTGATCTGGTTTGTATAGCCCCGTGGTCATTACGGCGACATCAGTTAGCATCACATGAGTGGCGCTGTCGCTACTGTAAAAAAACTCATAACTCTGAGGAAAGTCTTGACGAGCACATGGAGAAATGTATTGACAAAGCTGTTCGGGAGAGTGAACAACGTGACCGACGCATGAATAGTCAACGCCAGGTGTGCGACACCTGTGGTAAAGAATTTGCTAACAAAGGAATTTTAATGTCGCACATGAGATGCCACACGGAAGATGTAAGTTTGCTGATCAGTCAGATCTGCGATGTTGACCTGGACCAGGTAGATAAGATTGTAGATGATGTTGGTGGTGAGTCCAAGGAGGATTCACAAGGGACAAAGGAAGTGGCCTCTCCATCAAAGCATAAAAAACCCGGTGTTGTGAAAAAGCCATATGTGTGCCAGCATTGTGAGAAGTCCTTCAAACTGCGCTGTGAACTGAACAAGCATGCAAGAAATTCCCACCCAGAGACATATTGCATGCGTTCATTGTACCGTAACGAACGTGACCTTGGTAAGCGGCTTCAATGTCAGTATTGCAACAGGACTTCCTACAATCAGACTTGGATGAAAGTTCACACCGAGCAACATGTAAATAAGGGTGACTTAAAGCTAGAATCCAAGGAAGAGACAACAGAAAACGATGTGGCTGTGACTGAAGAGGTTAACAAGTCTAGGTCAGAGGCTAATGAGTCAGAGGTCGCTGAGCCCGAGGTCATAGGGTCAGAGGTGATCAAGTCAGAAGTCATGGGAATTAAGCCAGAAAAATCAGGATCAACAGAGTCAGATGGAGAGTTTGATACAAGCTCAGAGGTCAAAGGTCCATTATTGTCTGAAGATGGCAATGTATTGCTGAGTTCACTAAGGTGCAACATTTGTAATATATCTTTTAAGAACAAACATGAATTATACTCTCATGCTGTTTCACATCGTGTGTTTAAGTGTGACAATTGTGGTAAGATCTTATCTAGTGCTGGCTCTCTGAAGAAGCACCTGTTGATAGCCCACAGTTCAGAACGCAACTTTATGTGTGAATGGTGTGGGAAGTCATTCAAGACTCAACGCTGTGTACAACAACACATTGGAAAAGTTCACGAAAATCCAAACTCACGTAAAAATGTGGAAAACCCAGGACCCTATGTATGTTCAGTTTGTGACAAGGAATTTGATACCAAACGCCTGTTGACTAAACATAAATACTACCACAAGGATCGTACCACAGCTTGTCCTGTGTGTGAAAAGTGCTTCACCGGGAAAGGGGAGATGCTGTACCACCTCAAACATGTCCACTCTGATGCTCGCAACTATGTTTGTCAAATCTGTCAGAAATCCTACAAGACCAATTCCTCATTACGCGAACATAGGAAACAGCATCACGAGGGTAGGGAAAGCTGGCGACATCATTGTGATTATTGTAGCAAGATATTTAACAAGAGAAGTCAGCTTATCTACCACATGAAGGTTCACACGGGAGACAAACCCTTCCCTTGTGATCACTGTGGTCTGACTTTCTCCCAGAAGGGTAATCTATACAAACATCTACAGACAGTCCACATCCGAAAAGTGGAGTATAGATGTGAGCTATGTGGAAAGGGATTCTACTTGAAGGAGAACTATCGGCTCCACATGAGGACACATGCTGTGGAGAATGGTACGGCAGCCATCATTGGTAACAAGTACGGAGTGATCAGTCATTGTACTACATGTAACCGATATTTCCCACGAAAATGTTCCTATAAAGCTCATCTCCTGATGCACAGACAGGAGTGGAAGTACTCCTGTCCTATCTGTAAGAAAAAATTTGTCACTGTGACGTCGTGTACACGTCATCTCAAGACCCATCTAAAGTGTCGTATGACTTCTCAAGAAATACGTGAGAAATTCCCTCTAAAGATTGGTGCAGCACAGATCTCTGATAAATATTCACACCTGATATCCCAGTCCAAGACAGAAGGATCCGAAGATGAGATTGAAGAGAACAAAGAGTCCAAATCAATTATAATCAAGAAAGCAATGGCTAAACCTGTAACACCAGAGAAAATCAAAGTAGGCAAAAATAACTTCAAGAAAATGATGAAGAATGATTCAGAAATAAAAATGGTCAGTCCAATGAAATCGATGACTAGAGACGAAGGAGAGGCGAGCTTGGCGTTGGAATCTTTGGCGACGGGTGTGATAATTGAGGAATCACCAGACATTACATATAACTTAGTTCCTGTGTTGGACGATGCCCCCCATACAGCTGTAGAATCAATCATTGACACAGCCAGTACATCGAAAACTGATGAATCTGTTATTGGCGTCCCTGCAACGTCTTTAGCTGTTGAGTCTATCCTGGACAATGTTAATAACGTCATGCATTTGGAAGACAGGCTAGTAATTGAAGACACCGCTGCCAGTACTGAAGAAAACGCTGAAAACACAGAAATGTCTCCTAGTGAACTTAACGAGATTCTACAAACTGTGAACTCTCAGGACTTCTTACAGCAGCTTGGTAGTGGAAACATCATTCTTGTTCAGCAAGGGGACACTAAGGCTTATGTCATGTTGAGTTAATGAGATTGGGAACTCACTTTCTTAAGTACGGAAACTATGTGTTATTGAGTAGGGAACACCAAGAACATTTAGAAAGGAGACAAATTTCTTTCTGAATTAGACAGTTTCAACTTGTTACTTCAAGAGTGAGTACATTGCTCCTGATGTTTATTCCACATTAAGTGATTCAAGTTTTAAGATCATGGCTTCTAAACTTCTAAAGGCTAGAGTGGGTACACTGTACTGTAAATTGTGTTGAGTGATACGGTGTCAGTGTCTTGTATTTAGTAACCCAGTTTTTGAATTAATGAAAACTGAATCTCTAGAATATATGTATAAAGACACTGTAGTGTTATGAACTGTCCATTTCTAGAGTGATATTTCTGGTTGCACTAAGGTATATGTGACGGACACTGTTGTGTACATGTACAAAGAATCAGTTATGTTTCACTGCTAGTGTCTAGTGCAATGTTAGTGATACACAATGTACTGTAATTACTAATTAGCTACTTCTGTATATCAGTAAGAAATGAACAGAAAATGTAAATTTGTATGCTCCAATAAACAATCTTTTGCAAGCCTATTCCTTACTCTTCATTTAGCACTTTTACAGTATAAACGAAATACAGCATTTACCAAGTAATTAGTCCTTGAATGGTAGTAAACCCATAATAAGAAAACTACTAACTTTTTAAATACCCAGATATAAGTCCATTCTCTGGCAGACATTCTTTATTGAATTGGAAATTTATTTTTTAATTGTAAATTGCGTATATAGAATCATGGTGTCAGAATTAGAAATTGGATATCAAATCAGCTTCGATGTTAAATGTGACAGCAGTGTTGGAACTTCAGAGTAATGGAGGACATTCTGATATAGTCTGAGCATCTGAAGAGATCTGGGTAGTGGTATGATGCGTCTGTGTTAGGGAATATTCTGTATGTTGACATTAAACAATGTAAATCAAAGACGTACTTGTTTGTTTATCCACTTGCTGTTACTCTCCTAGATGTGTACAAGATAAATGTTAAATGACGGATTCTGATAACTTTTCATAATCATAAAGCAAGGAAAATACAGATTGATAACAAACAAGGCAACATTTTGTGTCTGTTGGGTTTATTGATAACAAACCAGGCAACATTTTGTGTTGGGGTTTATTGATAACAAACAAGGCAACATTTTGTGTCTGTTGGTTTTATTGATAACAAACAAGGCAACATTTTGTGTCTGCTGGTTTTATTGATAACAAACAAGGCAACATTTTGTGTCTGCTGGGTTTATTGATAACAAACCAGGCAACATTTTGTGTTGGGTTTATTGATAACAAACAAGGCAACATTTTGTGTCTGTTGGTTTTATTGATAACAAACAAGGCAACATTTTGTGTCTGCTGGTTTTATTGATAACAAACAAGGCAACATTTTGTGTTGGGTTTATTGATAACAAACAAGGCAACATTTTGTGTTGGGGTTTATTGATAACAAACAAGGCAACATTTTGTGTCTGTTGGTTTTATTGATAACAAACAAGGCAACATTTTGTGTTGGGTTTATTGATAACAAACAAGGCAACATTTTGTGTCTGCTGGGTTTATTGATAACAGACAAGGCAACATTTTGTGCTGGGTTTATTGATAACAAACAAGGCAACATTTTGTGTTGGGGTTTATTGATAACAAACAAGGCAACATTTTGTGTCTGCTGGTTTTATTGATAACAAACAAGGCAACATTTTGTGTTGGGTTTATTGATAACAAACAAGGCAGCATTTTGTGTTGGGGTGTATTGATAACAAACAAGGCAACATTTTGTGTTGGGGTTTATTGATAACAAACAAGGCAACATTTTGTGTCTGCTGGTTTTATTGATAACAGACAAGGCAACATTTTGTGCTGGGTTTATTGATAACAAACCAGGCAACATTTTGTGTTGGGGTTTATTGATAACAAACAAGGCAACATTTTGTGTCTGCTGGTTTTATTGATAACAAACAATGCAACATTTTGTGTTGGGGTTTATTGATAACAAACAAGGCAACATTTTGTGCTGGGTTTATTGATAACAAACCAGGCAACATTTTGTGTCTGCTGGGTTTATTGATAACAAACAAGGCAACATTTTGTGTCTGCTTGGTTTATTGATAACAGACAAGGCAACATTTTGTGTCTGCTGGTTTTATTGATAACAAACAAGGCAACATTTTGTGTCTGCTGGTTTTATTGATAACAAACAAGGCAACATTTTGTGTTGGGTTAATTGATAACAAACAAGGCAACATTTTGTGCTGGGTTTATTGATAACAAACAAGGCAACATTTTGTGTTAGGTTTATGACCCTGTGAACATCCAGGGTCTCCATGTAGTAGTACTACATCACTTGTTTGAGAGGTCCATCAATATTCCATGCTATCTACAACAATTTGGGTAATCAATTTTCTGGTTAAAGAACATATACACGACCATAGGACGAACCAGCTCATTGTCCTGAAAGATACAAACCACCCTGGGTAGATAGATATCAAACCACACACCTCTTAATACAAACCACCCTGGGTACATAGATATCAAACCACACACCTCTTAATACAAACCACCCTGGGTACATAGATATCAAACCACACACCTCTTAATACAAACCACCCTGGGTAGATAGATATCAAACCACACACCTCTTAATACAAACTATCCTGGGTGGTGATCAAACCACACACCTCTTAATACAAACCACCCTGGGTACATAGATATCAAACCACACACCTCTTAATACAAACCACCCTGGGTACATAGATATCAAACCACACACCTCTTAACACAAACCACCCTGGGTGGTGATCAAACCACACACCTCTTAATACAAACCACCCTGGGTAGATAGATATCAAACCACACACCTCTTAATACAAACCACCCTGGGTACATAGATATCAAACCACACACCTCTTAATACAAACCACCCTGGGTAAACAGATATCAAACCACACACCTCTTAATACAAACCATCCGGGGTGGTGATCAAACCACACACCTCTTAATACAAACCACCCTGGGTAGATAGATATCAAACCACACACCTCTTAATACAAACCACCCTGGGTAGATAGATATCAAACCACACACCTCTTAATACAAACCACCCTGGGTACATAGATATCAAACCACACACCTCTTAATACAAACCACCCTGGGTAGATAGATATCAAACCACACACCTCTTAATACAAACCACCCTGGGTAAACAGATATCAAACCACACACCTCTTAATACAAATGGTCTATCACTCATCCATGGACCTTATCAAAGAAAGAAATCTGTTTTGCCAGTTTAATACTTGATAAGGGTGTATAAACTCCGTACGTTAGATAAGACAGGGTTCCTGGTGATTGACTGTTAACACAGGTACCTGTTACTGATTATTATTGGTTTCTTGACGATAGCTAAACAGATCTTATTCAAATCACATCGAAGGATTTCATTGGTCCTTAAAGTGCATATGCAGTAAATAATTTTCATATTGATCACAAAAGATGTCTACTTTCTTGAAATCTTGACACTTCAAACAGACCATCCCATTTCCATTTCAGCACTAATCTCCATTTTTATTTTACCAATAGTTCTTGTTTCGGATTGGTTACATGTCCAAAGGTCAAAGTTGACATCACTTACCATCAGTAAATTACAATTTTTGCATAATATCTCTTAAAATTAGACCAGTTTCACTCAAACCTCATCTAGTGCTACATGACAAAAAATGCTGTATTGAGAATGGGTTTCAGGTATGGAGATCAAAAGTCAAGGTCACAATAAGTAGAAAATTGGTTCTGGTACAATTGCTGGAGTTTTTTTCTTTCTTCTGGAAGAAAGTACTTCTTTTGCAATACTTTTCTAGATATGCAGATCAGAAATTAGGTCACTATTACAAAAAGATAGTTACTTAGGCCATTTTCAGAGGCTCTGTAAATTGCTTGCTGGAAATTAATAGAAATATTCTCTTAACCCAAATAGTATAGAATCAATATCATATCAAATTGTAAATTTCATGACCCTAGGGTCATACATTTTCTCTGGGGAGGAGGTAAAGTTTACCATAGAATATATAGGAAGATTACGTTTTTGAGGATAATTTGTAAAAGTTTAATTGGAAATAGATCAAACTTAAAATTGTTGTTATAGGACGGCAATTTGATCTCGTGCACAGGGGAAGAAAAGTGTGGCCAAAAAGGATCAGATTGACTGAAATTTAAGAAATCTTCTTCTCAGTACCCGAATATGATAGAACAAATACTCTTCATGTATGGAAGGGTCTTAAGGAGCTTTAATCTGGCTGACTCCAAGGGGCTGATCTGCTTGGCCAAAAGGGCATCAAATTGACTAAAATTTCAAAACTCTTCTCAATACCCAGACATTGTTGAAACAGATACTCTATGTCTGAAAGTAAAACTTCTGTCCCTGTACAAATAGCATTTCTCATTTTCTCTTCTCTATACTACATGTTTATTCCAGTTGTTTCCCTTGCGAGTTTACTCAGATGACCGTTTGGGCCCTAAGGCCTCTTGTTTGAAATTTTGCCTACATGGCATGTGGAAGTTTTACACTAAACACGATGTAGTAGATTAACAGTAAATTGTTTGATTGGCAGTTCACTGTAGTTGCTAGGCAGTTCACTGTAGTTGCTAGGCAGTTCACTGTAGTTGCTAGGCAGGTCACTGTAATTGCCAGGCAGGTCACTATATTTGCAAGGGAGTTCACTCATAATTTACCCTGCTACATTTTACTAATATTGTTTTATCATTTTGTATTTTTCAGATGCAAAAAGTGATTACAAATTGGAAAAGAAGACTGAAGAGGGTCCGTCCCAGACACCACAACTGCCTGACTTATGTAGGAAGCTTGATGATACGTCAGGAGATGGGATGATAAATCTGGAACAAAGCATTACAGAGGATACTCTAATCAGTAAAGAGAACACAGACTGTAGTGTTGGTTGTGTAGACTTTTCTGATCCTTCATGCCATACATCAACTCACATTAAGCCATCAACACTTGAAGTGAGATCAGATAAAATGTCCATGCCTCAAAGCACTCCAATCTCTCCCTCAAACACGTCCGACGTCTCTGGTGAGGGTAGAGGAACAGAGGATTGGAAAATTCCGGAAGTACCTACCAACACAGATCAACTCACATCTGACGTCTCTGGTGAGGGTGGAGGATCGGAGAACTGGAAAATTCCCGAAGTACCTACCAACACTGATCAACCTACGTCCCACGTCTCCGGTGATGATGGAGGATCGGAAAATTGGAAAATTCCTGAAGTACCTACCAACACAGATCAACCGTTGTCTACTGCATTAAATAAACGAGTGATTATGGAGACAATGGGACTTACAGAAAAACAGAAAAAAACAGAGGAGACACCTGTCAGGAGGAACGCTCGAAGTGGAGGAAAAAAGGGGGAACCACTTAAAACACCATCTCCTGCGAGAAAAAGTTCACGAAATTGTTCTACTCCAGTCTGGCTTGATCTTATCCCGAAACGAAAAAAAAGCATCGAGACACGTTTAGATTTGTCTTGTATCAAGATAGAGCCAGAGGAAGTTGATAGCAAGAGAGGAAAGAATGCAAAAACAGCGCAACAGTCTGAAAGGACGTCTGACGATCAGCATACACTGAAAGGAAACATGAAATCAAGTGACAGACTTAAAAGAAAGAATTTGGAAGGAGATCAAGATGGAACACCAACAAAAAAGTCCAAAATGAGTCGGTCGTCGAAGACAAATGACAGCACTACAATTACAACTGACACCGAGATGCATGTAACCTTGAGACAGTTGTCTGAAACACACACACCTGATGAGGAAGCATCTGAAACCCCAAGACAGAGAAGATTGTCTAAAAGATTGACACTGAAATCTGAAGAAAAGGCAACTCCACCTCAAACACCGAGACAGAGGCGATTGTCAAAAACATCGAAATGTGATGGGGAGACAGGTCCATCTGTAACCTCTAAACCAGATCAGATATCTGAAGCATTAGTATTAGAGCATGACGAAGAGTCATTGACAAAGGGATCTGAAAAGGAGACTGGAGATCCAAATGTAACTCCCAAGCAATGTAGAATTTCCAAAAGATTAGAGTCTAAGAAGAAGGCAACGGTGACTCCGGAGACCGAGTCCACGTGTGATTTGTGTGGGAAAGTCTATAGCACTCCACAGAACATGCGTCGGCATCGTATTACTCACTCAGACTTCAAGGCGTACAAGTGTACGTTCTGCTCACAGCGCTTTCACTACATCCAGTATCTAAGGGAACACGTTGTTGGCTGTCTCAACAACCCACAGCGAGTCAAATATCGTAACCATGACCGCATGAGACCATCTCCTGTGATGATGAAACACCTTTCCATTGTGCCCTCACCTGACGAACCAGATACATTCATCAACCTACCTTTCAGTCAAATGTCTGATAAATTATCTGAGGTGAATGCAGAAGATGATATAAAAAATCTGACGGCAGAAAACACTGAGGAAGAAATCCTTGAAGTGTTGAACAAAGTGAAAGCCTCCCAACCCGAGGTTAATTTACAGGAAGCAAGGCGTAAACATAGGGAAGCTACTAAAGAGTTTAGGGCTGGAATCAATTCAAAGGACTGGATGACAGAGGACGGACAATTCAAATGTAATGTTTGTAATAAGATCATTTTAAATCAGTATAATCTTTACCGACACCTTCAGACTCACACAGAGTCAAAGCGTTACAAATGTACCTTTTGTGGGCGGCGCTTCGCTGTGGGACAGTACCTCAAAGATCATGTCATCTCCTGTGTGAAGAACATCAACCGTGTTACCACAGCAACCAATCGTCGACAAATTGATCCAGAGGTCAAACGGAAAATTATAATCTTGCCTTCAACTGTTGAAGAAGGGACTTTTGTGAATGCTGAAATGGGAGATAATTTGGAAGATGTTGATGTAGAACATGAGAAAGACGATATGTCCACCGAGCGAGATTGCGAACTTGACCTGGTAAAAAATGAGGAAAATGGGGATGACAATTCAAAAGAGGGAAGCAAGCAGCTTCTGGATGATGATGGAAATGACACCGAGGAGGTTTACAAGTGTTCTGTGAGAGAGTGGAACAACTACTACGCCCACCGCTCGTATGATGGGACAGGTCGCAGTACATTCAAGCTGAGCCCACACCTAATCAGTGTGTTTAAGAAGGAAAAAGAGCTTGGTGATGAACGTCTGAAGAACAAGGTGGCAACTCCATACCATTGCACTGTCTGTAATTTGAAGAAATTTAATCGCGCTGAGACACTCCGCCGACATCTCTTCACACACACAGGTGATAGCCATAAATGTGAGATATGTGGCATGACCTTTCTTTATCAAGAATATCTCAAATCTCATGTTCTCGAACTGCACTTTGCCATCAAAAGAAAGAGGAAAAGTCGGTCCATTAAACAGTTCACATCACAACTCAAATCACCAGTATCAGATGGAAATGATGTAGTCAGTGCTGACTCACAATCAGAATCAAGTGATCACGTGACAAATGAGACTAACAACTCTGATGACAAGGTACACAGCTCTGATGACAAGGTACACACCTCTGATGACACAGCACACAGCTCTGATGACAAGGTACACACCTCTGATGGCAAGGTACACAGTTCTGATGACAAAGTGCACAATTCCGATGAAAAAGCACACAGCTCTGATGACCAGGCTCTTAAATGTGAAAATTGTGGAAATGTGTTTCTGGTGGAATCAAGATTTAATGTTCATAAGTTGGTTTGTCACAAGAAACATGGGAATCGTAAGGCAAAAATATTGGGATGCAAAAAGGATAGAAAAAGTGTGGGAAAATTACAGAATTTTCAAAAACGAATCCTCTTTCAGTGTGTGGACTGCAGGAATAAATTCTTCAAGTACGAAAACCTGTTGTGGCATCAGTTTAGTTGCCACGGCCTTGCCTCCTTTAGGAAGTGCCCAGTGTGTTCCGTGGCCATTGACAAGGGGAGCCTATTGACCCACATCTTGACCTATCACCCACAACGTCAGATTAAGACAAGGTCTGATGAGCAGAGCACTCCACAGTACAACTTTAAATGTAACCAATGTGATAAAACCTTTACAAAGGAGCTCACCATGTTGATTCACCAACAGAAACACATGGCCAACAGGCAAACTGACCTCGACAAAAGCAACCAATGCCCGGTGTGTAAGGTAAAATTCACAACCTTTGGGAACATGAGGCGACACTTCAACGTCATTCACAGTGATGCGAAGCCATTTATGTGTCACCTTTGTGGCAAATCTTTCAAAACAAATGACACCTTAAAATGCCATGTCAAGATACACAATCGCGAGAAGTACCTCAACTTCAAGTGTAAAACATGTGGCAAAGGATTCTTCAGGAAACGATTGTTGAAGGACCACGAGACTCTACACATTCCTGGCGCCACCACTTGTATGTGTGACATCTGTGGCAAAAGATTCCGCCTCAAACCAAATCTGAGTAAACACATGAATAGTGTTCATAACATGGAGCGTAACCACGTCTGTGCCACCTGTGGCAAAACATTTAAACTGAAGGAACAACTTCGAAATCACATGCGTTACCATGTCATCAAAGAGGGAAAGGTTGGAGAGGTCGGAAACAAATACGGTAAGATCTATAAGTGTGACACCTGTGGGAAGTTCTGCCCGTCAAGTTACTCGCTGAAGATCCACAATACGTCTCACTCATCTGAGAGACCATACGGCTGTGAAATATGTGATCGAAGGTTTAAGGTGAAGAGCAAGCTCATGCGACACGTTCAAAATGTCCACAATTTATCAGGCAAAACTCGGCGTCCCAAGAAACAAGCTGAGCGTAAACAAGGCATGATGCATTCTGTGAAGGAGAAAGGCTGGTCGTCACAGGATGATGAGAACATCGCAGAGAGTATCGTGGAGGTGATAGTGAATAGTGAGGCTGAGTTAATGGAGAACACCAAGATGTATTCGCTGTTAGATCACTCCTATAGACCAAGTAGCTCGGTCACGCCATCCTCCAGTTTAACCCACAATGATCAGACGGTGATTGAGGAAGCAGTGAAGGGCATTACACAGCTGGCAGGGAACAACACTGAGACGGATTATATCATACAAGATGTTCAGGAGGTGGAGGATCAGCCAGGCATGTACATCGTTTCATCAGATATCCAGGAAGAAGATGGCAACGAGACACAGACTTTTAGTCTCAGTGTGGATGAAGGGCCTAAAACTCTCATCTACTATATCACAACTGACTAGTGTCCTGCTTGAACAAGTGTCTTGTATAACTGTCCACTCTGAAAGTGTTCAAATCTCATTTGAGTGATGCATCCAAACTTTGTTATGTAAATGTGTAACTTCCTTGTAAATATAAGTGAATATAATGAGTTGTAGACATGTGTTTGACACAGGGAACTTTCACTTTCCATGTGATATTGGAGTTACCCCATTATGTCCAATACAGAGACCGTATTCAGTTCAGTATCAGTATTTCCTAACACTCCGGATGACGTCTTTGACACTTGTGAACTAACGATGTTAATTCATTTGTGATGATTTATGATCCTGAAATTCAGGTAAATACATTAGTTTGAATGTATTGAGAAGATCAAGTTCTATTTCCAGAATTATTTTTTCATTTTGATGACTTAACGGTAGCCAAATGGTTATATACAAAGTTGTTTGTCAACCTTTGTTTTTTGGCCTGTTCAGCTTTGAACAACAATAATCCTCTAACATACACGAGATTATGAGGATTCGTGATAGAGACATCAGTGAGAAGTTAATACACTGTACCTAATTTGATTACTTAGTTAAGTCACTACAGTAGTACGAGGTTACACATCAGAATTATTCTTGATGTTTGTAATGTTTAGCAAACTACTGATGGATTTGTTATCACAGAATGACAACAGACTGGCTTTAACACCAGCACAGAACAGGACAAATTGTTGATATATATATATAGCCTCGTTTGTACACTGCTTCATATTCCTACCTGTATCAACTATTTATGATACCTAGGTAATACATGCTGAAGGTATCTGTATGTGTTCAAAGAAACATTTAGGGAGCATTAGCATCACGCCAGCTGTTATCTTAAAGAAATATTGTGCTTTTCCTTGGTAAGATTATATTTGTATAAGATCTGTACCTGACAATTCACCATTAAATAAACATGATTTTGGAGAAAGTTTGTATAATTATTATAATAATCTTTTAAATGTGCCTAATTATTATAATAATCTTTTAAATGTGCCTATCAAAAATTTCATCTTTGTTGACAACTTACTGCCTGTCCATTGCTAACCATCAGTCATAAACTCTTATTTTTCCAGAGATACCCTTTCTGTTTAAGTTACTGACCTTATAAAAACATAAGAGGCTTTACCAGCAGCACTTTAGTTGTGGTTTCCTGATTTGCATTTTAATTTGATTTGGTAATATTTTTGAGAGTTATTGCCCTTTGTTTTAAACTGAAATTTAGTTTTTAACGGACTTTTGATAAACCTTTGAATGCTTTATAACCATTTTGATCTAGAAATTTAAAGGAGAGGTATATACAGTGCTTTATAAGTAGCTCTTGGTAGGACGACTGTTGTCTCCTGATTCTTATAAGGATTAATATGATGCAATGATGTTTGGGACAGGTAGATATTTTCCTGTCTAGCTAGCTCTTTTTACAATTTATTGACCAGTAATATCATGGATCACATTAAGATTGATTTCAACTAAAACAAAATTTAATGTTTCAACTTCTAAATGATTCAAGCATGGGTTAGCAAGAGGTGTATTGCTGGATTATTTGTTGAATGAAATAAAATTCAAATACATCTGTAAATTGGAAAATATTCTTGCTTTTGTTTCCATAGTAACCAAAAGTTGTTGAGCATATCTCCTAATCTGGTTGTGGAAGTGTAATCAAATCGTGGTCGCAGTAGAACAACCTGTTCTCATCTTATCACACGGTCATTTTTAACACTATTTCTCCATCTTGGATCTGGAAACTTGAGACAAGTTAAACATTTATTAATATTTCGGAAACATGAGACAAGTTTAGCATTTAATTTCTCAGTAATACTGAAAGCTACCCTTGGAATTTTAAAATAGAATATATTCAGTAATGGCTCCTAGTTGTGCATGTTTTGAGTTTGATAATTTAGTATTCAAGATGGCCAATAGTCACTTTGACTTTCTACAACTGAAGTTGCTTGCACACATTTCTGAAGAATTACTGATGTTTCGTGGTTGACCTGATATTCCAAAATGGCCAATTTGATTTTTTTCATTCATGTTTTACACATAATTTTAAATTTAATAAATTGAAAAAGTTGAGAAGAGTTGACATGTACTATTATCAGATGAGCTATTCTGTGGTCCGTCCCTGAACAGTTTTTGTTATCGCTATTTTTTGAGAAGCACTGTTTGGATCTTTCTCAAATTGCATATGTAGGTTCCCCTTGGTCCCTCATTGTGCCCGTTTGATTTTGGGACAAAACAAAATGGCTAACAGGCGGCCATCTTGGATTTTGATAACCTATACATGAACTAATGTTGGAGACGTGATACAGAAACTGACCTATATATGAACCATTGGTGGAGACGTGATACAGAAACTGACCTATACATGAACCATTGGTGGAGACGTGCTACAGAAACTGACCTATACATGAACCATTGGTGGAGACGTGATATAGAAACTGACCTATATCTGAATCATTGGTGGAGACGTGATATAGAAACTTAGTTGAATGTACTAAAGATATTGTAGCTCTGCTACAGTATATAGAACTGTAAGAAATTATTACACCAATGGAGAATATTAAGCATAAATGAATAACAGAAAAATAAAACAAGACAGAAAGGAGTTATTGTTTAATGTTACAGAACCACAACTCTTTTATCAGATCAAATTGTAAACATCAGTGAACAACATTATTATGTGTTTCATAAACTTTGACATTATAGTTACTTAACACTGTGAAAATGATACAAAATGAAATTCTCTACGAGATTCCACAAATCATGCTGATATAAGATTGTCCATAGTGGAGAGAACTTTAAAATTCACCAAATCACTATCAAAGTATACAAAGTTTAAACAGACTGAAATACAACAGTACCACACATGGTATCCACAGACCTTTCATTAAAAACTTTAAACCACAGCATGGTTGTTACATATAAGATAAACAAATGGCCTATTGGGCCTGCATTACTTACAGATTACAAGAGGCTCACTGGGCCTGCATTACTTACAGATTACAAGAGGCTCACTTGGCCTGCATTACTTACAGATTACAAGTGGCTCACTGGGCCTGCATCACTTACAGATTACAAGTGGTTCACTGGGCCTGCATCACTTACACAGATTACAAGAGGCTCACTGGGCCTGCATCACTTAGACTACAAGTGGCATACTTGGTTTGCTTTGCTTACAAAGATATTTCCAACTTCTATTACAGAATCAGTACAACGTTTGCCAGTGTACATAATAACATTACACTGCAGCATTACTCTAGATACTTGGTATTCTAATTTTCAAAGTTAATGTTTGTTGTCTTTTCATAAACATACTTTATGTTCACAAATTTGTAACAACCTAACCAATTCGCCCACTGGCTGCAGCTTATCACCTTGTGTCTTCTGAGTATTTTAATGCAAGTACTTAACCTTGGCAATCAATATTTTGACCTTGAAGGAAGGTAAACTTAATCAATATGGCGAACATATTCGAAATCTGGTATTGTTCAAGAGCCTATAAGAAACTTAGGGGATGAAGAACACCAGAGATTAACATCCACTGTACACTATATTTTTTCTATACCTTACTTTACAACAAGTGTGAACAAGCTTACCAGTGAGTTGTTAGTGTTAATCAGTCATGGCTTAGATTGAAGCTTGTGAGGGGTCTGACTTTGGGAAGAAACTCTTGAAAAACTAACATGGTCAGCAGGTATCAACACTCCTCTTCACATCTGATTGGGGAATCGAACCACTGATGACTATGTGAAAGGTGAGTGTGTTGCCACTGTACCATCTGTGTTACCACTGTACCCATTTGACTGTGTTAACACTGTACCCATTTGACTGTGTTACCACTGTACCATCTATGTTAACACTGTACCCATTTGAGTGTGTTAACACTGTACCCATTTGACTGTGTTAACACTGTACCCATTTGAGTGTGTTACCACTGTACCCATTTGAGTTTGTTACCACCATACCATCTGACCACCTTATATTATATTCAATTGAATCTTGTCTTCTTGAAATCTACTATGGTCATTTATGTGGGAACTTTATATCATGTCCGAGTTTTGTATCAGCTATTCAAAATATATGTTAGTACACAAAGGTAAAGACAGATAGTGTATGATGCTTCATACCATTAGCCTGACATGTGTGACATTTGATTAAACACTGATTGCCTTATGCTCAATACACAAAAAGAGAAAAAAAGAAAAAAAAACCAATGAATTCTACTGAAAGAACACATTACAAACAAAGATTATGAATTTATGCTGTTGATGAAAACATTTGATAAGTATAACCCACTGCTAGAACTACGCCTGTCTGTGACCCACTGCTAGGACTACATCTGTCTGTGACCCACTGCTAGAACTACGCCTGTCTGTGACCCACTGCTAGAACTACGCCTCTCTGTGACCCACTGCTAGAACTATGCCTGTCTGTGGCCCACTGCTAGAACTATGCCTGACTGTGGCCCACTGCTAGGACTATGACTGTCTGTGACCCACTGCTAGGACTATGTCTGTCTGTGGCCCACTGCTAGGACTACGCCTGTCTGTGACCCACTGCTAGGACTATGTCTGTCTGTGACCCACTGCTAGGACTACATCTGTCTGTGACCCACTGCTAGGACTATGTCTGTCTGTGACCCACTGCTAGAACTACGCCTGTCTGTGACCCACTGCTAGAACTAAGCCTCTCTGTGACCCACTGCTAGAACTATGCCTGTCTGTGGCCCACTGCTAGGACTATGACTGTCTGTGGCCCACTGCTAGGACTACGCCTGTCTGTGACCCACTGCTAGGACTATGTCTGTCTGTGACCCACTGCTAGGACTATGACTGTCTGTGGCCCACTGCTAGGACTATGACTGTCTGTGACCCACTGCTAGAACTACGCCTGTCTGTGACCCACTGCTAGGACTATGACTGTCTGTGACCCACTGCTAGGACTATGACTGTCTGTGGCCCACTGCTAGGACTATGACTGTCTGTGACCCACTGCTAGAACTACGCCTGTCTGTGACCCACTGCTAGGACTATGACTGTCTGTGGCCCACTGCTAGGACTATGTCTGTCTGTGGCCCACTGCTAGGACTATGACTGTCTGTGGCCCACTGCTAGGACTATGTCTGTCTGTGACCCACTGCTAGGACTATGTCTGTCTGTGACCCACTGCTAGGACTATGCCTGTCTGTGGCCCACTGCTAGGACTATGTCTGTCTGTGGCTTACTGCTAGGACTATGTCTGTCTGTGGACCACTGCGAGAACTATGCCCGTCTGTGACCCACTGCTAGGGCTATGTCTGTCTGGGGGACATCAATGTTTTCGTTACCATGTATGGTTCTTTGAATATTTAATGAGTAAATACATTCTTTTGTTTGTATATTTGTGTAAGACAATAATCTTAATAACATATCACATAATTATAAAGATTATACAAGTTAATTCTATTCCCCATGTTTGTATACATAGTAAATTATTCCCCTTGTTGGTACATATTGTAAATTATTCCCCTTGTTGGTTTACAAAGTAAATTTCCCTTGTTTGTATACATAGTAAATTATATCCCTTGTTGGTATATATTGTAAATTATTTCCCTTGTTGGTATACACAGTAAATTATTCCCCTTGTTGGCATATATTGTAAATTATTCCCCTTGTTGGTACATATTGTAAATTATTCCCGTTGTTGGTTTACAAAGTAAATTCCCCTTTTTTGTATACATAGTAAATTATATCCCTTGTTGGTATACATTGTAAATTATCCCCCTTGTTTGTATACATTGTAAATTATCCCCCTTGTTTGTATACATTGTAAATTATCCCCCTTGTTGGAATACATTGTAAATTATTCCCCTTGTTGGCATATATTGTAAATTATTCCCCTTGTTGGTATATATTGTAAATTATTCCCCTTGTTTGTTTACAATTTAAATTCCCCTTGTTGGTAAATATTGTAAATTATCCCCCTTGTTGGTATACATTGTAAATTATTCCCCTTGTTGATGTACATTGTAAATTATTCCCCTTGTTGATGTACATCGTAAATTATTCCCTTTGATTGTTTACAATGTAATTTCCCCTTTTTTGTTCACATAGTAAATTATCCCCCTTGTTTGTACACATAGTAAATTTTCCCCCTTGTTTGTATACATAGTAAATTATACCCCTTGTTTGTATACATTGTAAATTATCCCCCTTGTTTGTATACATTGTTAATTATCCCCCTTGTTTGTATACATTGTAAATTATCCCCCATGTTGATGTACATTGTAAATTATCCCCCTTGTATGTATACATTGTAAATTATCCCCCTTGTTTGTATACATTGTAAATTATCCCCCTTGTTTGTATACATTGTAAATTATCCCCGTTGTTTGTATACATAGTAAATTATATCCCTTGTTTGTATACATTGTAAATTATCCCCCTTGTTTGTATACATTGTAAATTATCCCCCTTGTTTGTATACATTGTAAATTATCCCCCATGTTGATGTACATTGTAAATTATCCCCCTTGTATGTATACATTGTAAATTATCCCCCTTGTTTGTATACATTGTAAATTATCCCCCTTGTTTGTATACATAGTAAATTTTCCCCCTTATTTGTATACATTGTAAATTATCCCCCTTGTTTGTATACATTGTAAATTATCCCCCTTGTTTGTATACATTGTACAGTAAATCATCCTTCCCCTTATTTATATATACAGTACAGATTTTCCATGTTTTTATACATGTGTACAGTGAATTATTGACTTAAGTCCACAGGTAGAATATTACCCATCTAATATTACAACTTCTAGGTATAAGTGTACATGTTCATCGATAGTTTTAATAATAATTAAATATCACAATATTTTTACCAGTCTTCTAACCAAGGAAGGTACATACCCTCTTTACAAGTAAATACTGTTAGTGCAAGTACATTTTACATGCTTCACATTTTACATGCTTCACATTTTACAAGCTAACAAATAATGAAAAACAAAACGATAATGAGCCACATTTCAAAAAATAAGGAAAAACTGAAGACTGAAGCCAAATTCTAACCTAGAGAAGATCGGTGGTTTCAACAAGTACACAACCTGTATAGGGTTAACACATCTCCTGGGAGTGTTTATATAACCTCCATCAGTGGTGAAGGCAAATTATTCTAATTCTCTTACGTGTAGATAAACATTGAACACTATCTATATAGATAAGTAAATTTTCTTAATCAAATGTAGATATATAATACTCTCAAAACACATACTTTTGATTCATGGTCGATAAATTAAAGTGCACATTCTTAAATAATGTAGATAAACCTACCTCAAAATGGACAGTAGATAAATCTGTCTTAAAACATTAAAAAGTATGTTAACCTTACTCTATCATTTGTAGATAAACCTACCTCAAAATGGACAGTAGATAAACCTAACTTTATTAACTGTATGTATAACGTTATCATTTGTAGATAAACCTACCTCAAAATGGACAGTAGATAAACCTAACTTTATTAACTGTATGTATAACGTTATCATTTGTAGATAAACCTACCTCCAAATGGGCAGTAGATAAACCTTACTCTTTCAACTCTAGATTAAGGTCCCATAGAATACAGTGGAGATAAAACTCATAGACTAGCAACAGTATTAACCTACCTCAAAAGATGATGTAAGGTTAACCATACTCCTATCAAAATAAAGTTAAAACAGCCTACCTGATCACACCTGAAGGTGAGCACCATTAAAAATCTTCATTGCATTAGAAAATCTCTAAACATTGCACCTCCTCCCATACGTGTTAATTATAAATGATTATATACTATAAAACACCAGTCTATTTACATAATAAACAATATGTGTATTTTACACCAATACCTGAAATAAACCCATGGACAGAAGACATATTGTAATGAGCATGGAGTTACCTCCCCTCATTGTGTAGTTATCTTTCTATATAGTGATAGTGAGAGGACAGATAGCACTCATTTACTTAATCTCTACCAGAGTTGTAGTTCCCTACAGTCACAATAGGGTACCACAATGCACTCTGATTGTCATTTCCTGTGTGGAATTGTACATATCAAATAATGGTCTCACACACACATTCACTTCCTGACCAGAAGTACACATCCACTAATGTCAGGTATGAAATTCCACTAATGGACAGACGTACACATCCACTTATGGACAGATGTACACATCCACTAATGGACAGACGTACACATCCACTAATGGACAGACGTACACATCCACTTATGGACAGATGTACACATCCACTAATGGACAGACGTACACATCCACTAATGGACAGACGTACACATCCACTAATGGACAGACGCACACATCCACTAATGGACAGACATACACATCAACTAATGGACAGATGTACACATTCACTAATGGATAGACATACACATCCACTAATGGACAGATGCACACATCCACTAATGGACAGATGTTCACATCCACTAATGGACAGACGTACACATCCACTAATGGACAGACGTACACATCCACTAATGGACAGACGTACACATCCACTAATGGACAGATGTACACATCCACTAATGGACAGATGTACACATCCACTAATGGACAGATGTACACATCCACTAATGGACAGATGTACACATCCACTAATGGACAGATGTACACATCCACTAATGGACAGATGTACACATCCACTAATGGACAGATGTACACATCCACTAATGGACAGATGTACACATCCACTAATGGACAGATGTACACATCCACTAATGGACAGATGTACACATCCACTAATGGACAGATGTACACATCCACTAATGGACAGATGTACACATCCACTAATGGACAGATGTACACATCCACTAATGGACAGATGTACACATCCACTAATGGACAGATGCACACATCCACTAATGGACAGATGTTCACATCCACTAATGGACAGATGTACACATCCACTAATGGACAGATGTACACATCCACTAATGGACAGACATACACATCCACTAATGGACAGACATACACATCCACTAATGGACAGATGTTCACATCCACTAATGGACAGATGTACACATCCACTAATGGACAGATGTACACATCCACTAATGGACAGATGTTCACATCCACTAATGGACAGATGTACACATCCACTAATGGACAGATGTACACATCCACTAATGGACAGATGTACACATCCACTAATGGACAGATGTACACATCCACTAATGGACAGATGTACACATCCACTAATGGACAGATGTTCACATCCACTAATGGACAGATGTACACATCCACTAATGGACAGATGTACACATCCACTAATGGACAGATGTACACATCCACTAATGGACAGACGTACACATCCACTAATGGACAGACATACACATCAACTAATGGACAGATGTACACATTCACTAATGGACAGACATACACATCCACTAATGGACAGATGCACACATCCACTAATGGACAGATGTACACATCCACTCATGGACAGATGTACACATCCACTAATGGACAGATGTACACATGTTCCCTGTCTTTTTTATACCATCAGATATGCAGAGGTAACATACATTGTAACACTATATACATGAATGTAATATGCACCATAATGAAAACCTGATAAATTGTGCGTTGTTATGATTTCTAGTAAATATCGATTCATGCACCAAGATATATGAAGGGAAATAACTCCCTAAGATAATGTTGTCTCATAATAAAAATATGGCACTGATCACATTAACACTAGATACACGACACTGGCTATTATAAGTTCCCTTGTCAGAAGTTCAACATCATTCAAAAGTTTAACTTTGTCTTTACAAATGGCCATTGACTAGTCTTGATATTTCAATACACAAGGACATGCCACAGCTCCCCATCAGCAAGTCAGTAATTTCACATTTTATGACAATACAGTCAGACTGAGAGGGTGGAGAACCTTCCCATGGATTACAATACAGGGAGCAGGGCAGAGTATTAGAGATCTAAATGTGTAATCTATTACAGTAAAAGCTACCACTTAAAATGTCAAGTAATGAGTGAATTTAAAGATACCAAATTCTAAATCAACAGACTATCAAATAATTTCATTTTGTGTATGGGAGCAAAGGAGCAGGTGAGTGACAGGGAGGAAGTAAGAGAAAGACAAGAAGGGAGCAGGTGGAAAGGGAAGTATAAAAATATAGAGGACAGCTAAGTTAACACTTTAACAGTCAACACTAGACATAATGAAAGCTGATAAGTGGAGACTAAATTATAAATGTCTGGTAGTGAGAGGAATCCAGTCAAACTAATATATAGGATAATTTGTGTGGTGAGTAAACGCCCAAGATATTTCTAGGATAGTGAGAGAATGAACAACTGATTGAGGTACATTATAAGGAGGGGGGGGGGGGGGGAGGCTGGGTGGGTGGGGGGGATAGCATGAAGGAAGGAGAGAAAGAGATTAATAAATGAGATAAAGATCGTATGACTAACGTCATTTTCATTATCTAGATGCTGTGGAGTTTCCCGAGGTTTCAGATCCTGATACGGTAGAGGTAGATGCACTGTCACTATGGTAACTGTCATCACCTTCTCCTTTCATTTCTTTGTGGTTTTCCTTGTTTTTTTCCTTGCATAATTCCAGGGCCCTTTCATTTATACTGTGTTGATCCAAAATATCATGTAACCTTATCGAAGCACGCTCAACAGAACTTGTACACATGTGTAGTTTCTCTCGATGTTGTGGCTTCATGACGTCATAGACAAGATCACGTACTGTCTTACAAAGCTGGATACATGCTGATACAACACTCATACAGGACCCTACAACATAAACCATAGTCTGTCTCATCCTACACATATATATTTACTTCTTTGTCAGATTTTAATGAAAATTTAGGAGTTTATAACCAAAAGTTATATATAATTTCTAAGAACTGTACATGTATCAAATTTAAGCTTTCACCCTCTCAACTTCGTCTAAGTAGTGAACTTTCTTTGTTAGAATCAGGCTATTGATACTGTTGTTCTAAACATACTCACCAAGTATTGTCTTCTGTACATCTATTGCTTTTGATGTCAGCAGAGCTTGCTTTCCTGTAAAATCATCCTCTGTGGCAAAACTGACCAACGCTGCGGATGCTGCAAGAACAGGCTCACAGAAAACAATCACTCTGGAATGATGGGTAGTGCTAGGGTGGGATTTGTAAGACTTAATACTGGCTATCAGACATCCTGCAGCACATGTCACACTCTTCACACAAAGTTTGAACTGATCTGATGTGCTTTCCTCGTCAACAGATTCACCTGCCAAACGACAGATGTCCGTGATGATAGCAATGTGGCGTGAGATATTGGAACACAGGTCTATGATTAGTTGTGGAGTTAAATCTTCTATTCTTGCGCGCTTCAGACGATTGCAGCTCATCTTAATCTCTAACCCTGACAACAACATGCTATATTTATCAACAAGTCCATCTTCTGCTAATTCACAGCCAGGAAAGTCCACAGCAACTAGGTAGGCTGTGTGACTGCAGAGCTCAATCAAGTTGATTGTCGTAGAACTCAATTCTTGAAGCCCTTCACATATTTCGAGCCATTTCGTGGAGATCATATGTACATGGGCAAGGATTGCCTTCATCAAAGTCATGATAGTTTTCACAGTGTCTGATATTTTTTCATGGAGGTAGGACGGACTAACAATGTGACTAGAAAAACAAGATCGAAGTGGACGGGCTTCACAAGACAGAAGCAACATTTCTGCTATCATCTGAAGTTTATTCTGATTTCGTTCGCAAGTATTTGCGATCGCACGTGAATGTCCACTATTCATTTCATTACTTAAAATTAAGAAATAAGCACCAGCGAATAAAAAATGTAATTAACATGAAAAACTAAAAAATATTAAATATGGACTAGGCAAACAAGACTTCTTTCGTTTTTTTCACAAAAAACATATAAATAACATAAAAATGTATATCGATTAAAATCTCATGTCTATTTCTGTGGATTGCATGTTATGTCACAACAGTTGTACTATACGTCATCACGTGCGGATACGTGTGCCACTCTGCCACCGATACTGAAGCGGGCATCATCTGTTGAAAGACTCTTGATGTTGACCTATTGTGATCTTGTGTACACAATGTCCTTTGTACGTAAACAAACTTCAACCTCCCACATCTTCCCATGTGTACTTGTTGTGCATTTGCATCAGTCTCGTTACTTTACGAACCGTTAAAGAAGCAAACATATCTGTGTTTGTACACGCTTCTTTCTACCGATGTCATTGTTTAAGGTCAGAATCGCCAGAAATCTTCTCGGATTTGTTAAATTCCCGAGCTAAACTAAAAGTAAAAGGCGTGGCTATCTTTAGCAGGAAGTTGATTTGATGAAATCTCGTGGGCGATCTCGCCGGTGTTCGGTTATACTAAAATCAGTTCAAGAGGTCCGTTATACAGGGATTCGATTACACAGCTAGACAACAAGAACTTCATATATATCTACGTAAAGATCTTTGAAAACTTTTCAGTCAATTGTGTAATAACACCACGTATATATGCCCGATATCTAAATTAATTTAATATTTCAAGAACTGCCCGAAACAACATCTAACATCTAGACAAATTAAATTTTGTTATTATTTACCTTCATCATCATTAATGATCGTTTTTGAAAATTATTTGATATGTGTTTTTAATTATCAAGTGTTTCCAGTTTGAAAAAGACAAAAGCTAAAAGAAACCGCCAAAATGGGCGGGACAATCCAACAGGAAGTAACCTGAAATCGAAGTATCGCAAAGTATCGCCTAGTCCGCTATTTCCCGTTAGCCTTATCACCGCATAAGCTCGCTCGGTAAGTAGATCCAATATTGTAAGATTCCTTGCCCATGACTCATATTCATGAAGTATTTTATATATAATTTCCTGCATATATTTAAATTGAAAATATCTAGTTAACTTAAATATATACTTTTATGAAATTCAACTGATTTTAAGGAATAGGTTTTCACGGCGAAATAATATGATCCCATGTAAAAAGGTCCAAAGCGTTTCCGGACTACTTGTTTTATTTCTAACTTCCGGATGTCTTTGCTCACAAACGAAGTTTCAACCTTTAAGCACACATTAACTGGTAAAAATGTTTTATTTATATACATTTTTTGATTGTCTATTATGTGATTGTCCTATTGATTCGTATGTTTTATGAAGCTTTAGCGGATGTTGATACTTTGGGGTCCTTTTCCGCTCCGACCACATGCAACTTCCGCTGGTATTGTTGTTGACACATTGACAGTGGCGCATAGACGATGTTATACACTGTTAGCTCTTGTCCACTCTGCAGCAAACATAATACTTTGTACGAACATATCGTAGACAAATTAACTTCAGTTTCTATAAAAAGCCATTCAAATCGTGCGATGACTCAACGTAGTAAATAAGAGAGAGACAAAGTCTTTATGGAATTATCGGATTTAAAGAAGGCATATATGTATAACCTCGGCGCATAAGTTTCAGACCTCTTAAGAATCATTATTTCGTTAGCTACGCTATGAACTGCCATCAAGCAAATACAGAAATGACTTGAAATATGTTTACACTTATTTAAAAAACAACCGATAAATCACCGAGACGCTTAATGTGACACAGAAGTACACGTTTTATAATATATTAATGGTGCAAAAGTGGTGGATATCTGTGTTTATGAGTGCATCTTTTCAAAAGGGTTAGATTCAAGATTTTATCGTTTGATCCTTTTTTTCTCTCAAATGAGCCACATTTCTTGGTTAACATCTTTTTTATAATACAAACTATTTGAATAAAGTTGATTTTTCATCTCTCAGTCTACAACTCACCAGTTAAATAAAAGGAAAAAGTGATTCTGCATTGATAACAATCAGAAGTTGAACTTAAGTATTGATTGATGGTAACATACCCTATATTGTTTAAAAGAACAAAAAGTATATTCTGATGTTGATGAATGAAATCTTAAGCATACACTGTGCCAATGTTTTCATGATACTTTTATAACAATATACCTGATCTCTTTTTATTTTGAAAGGCTGGTAGAGCAAGGTTATTTCTCCTCTGGAGAATTGCTAATGCTTTACAGGCCATTCGAAGATAAAGGCAACATTTATGGAAGAGAAAGGGAGGTAATTTATTCCAATGAATTCCCAAACACTAGTTTTTAAAGAGCTGGACCTGAGAGCTGAACTCTTATCATAAAAGTGTTCCACTAGATTTGCAACACCCTTTCAGTGTGGGGTATACATTGGAACTTGAAGCATAGAGGATTTTACTCTTTTTTTCAGTTTGTTAAAGGACCAGCTTGTACATAGTGTTGAATACAGATTCTGTCATTCAGCTGACTGAGCATTCTTCTATGGCTCTGTTGGTAGAACCACAGGTAATAACATCAGAGAAAACAGGAGTGAAAGGACCCAATGTAGCTTTTACTTAGTATTGGTTGCAATTCATAAGCTTAAAAAATAGCTGTCAACATTCTTATGAGGTCTAAAAATCAATGAGCTAAGGATTAAGTACTAAAATAGCAAGAATTAGTAAAGTTAACTTCAGTGAAATGTTACTTTATTTTTTTCAAAATGCACTGACCTGGTCCTGATGAAAAGTCTTCAGTCTGTGAATTGGTTGTGTATTTTGTCATATGTGTGGACTGCTGGAGGAAGCTATTGAACTCCTTCGGACCAGACAGTTCATTGTCTTCATCAGTCTTTGTAAGCAACAAGAAACAAGTACAGAGCAGTGTCATTTTGTAACACTGTCACAGAAATCATACATATGCACACACACAGGACTGTAATTACCAGGGTAGATAATCTACTGACAGATGATTACCAGGGTAGATAATCTACTCATTGTCATTACCAGGGTATATAATCTACTGACAGATGATTACCAGGCTAGATAATCTACTGACAGATGATTACCTGGGTAGATAATCTACTGACAGATGATTACCAGGGTAGATAATCTACTGACAGATGATTACCAGGGTAGATAATCTACTGACAGATGATTACCAGGGTAGATAATCTACTGACAGATGATTACCTGGGTAGATAATCTACTGACAGATGATTACCAGGGTAGATAATCTACTGACAGATGATTACCAGGGTAGATAATCTACTGACAGATGTTTACCAGGGTAGATAATGTACTGACAGATGATTACCAGGGTAAATAATCTGCTGACTGATGATTACCAGGGTAGATAATCTACTGACTGTCATTTCCAGGGTAGATAATCTACTGACTGTCATTTCCAGGGTAGATAATCTACTGATTGTCATTACCAGGGTAGATAATCTACTGACAGATGAACACCAGGCTAGATAATCTACTGACTGATGATTACCAGGCTAGATAATCTACTGACTGATGATTACCAGGGTAGATAATCTACTGACAGATGATTACCAGGGTAGATAATCTACTGACAGATGATTACCAGGGTAGATAATCTACTGACAGATGATTACCAGGGTAGATAATCTACTGACTGTCATTTCCAGGGTAGATAGTCTACTGACAGATGTTTACCAGGGTAGATAATCTACTGACAGATGATTACCAGGGTAGATAATCTACTGACAGATGATTACCAGGGTAGATAATCTACTCATTGTCATTACCAGGGTAGTTTATCTACTGACAGATGATTACCTGGGTAGATAATCTACTGACAGATTACCAGGGTAGATAATCTACTGACAGATGATTACCTGGGTAGATAATCTACTGACAGATGATTACCAGGGTAGATAGTCTACTGACAGATGATTACCTGGGTAGATAATCTACTGACAGATGATTACCAGGGTAGATAATCTACTGACAGATGATTACCTGGGTAGATAATCTACTGTGTGGTCACCTTAAACCAGACTAGAACATTCCCTTTCTTTTATGACAGGTAAGCCTATTTAAGGCTTGATGCAGACGGTGAAGCAGATAAAGCAAGTTCTGGCAGAGGAAGTCAACATCGTTTTACCTAAACGTGAAGGCTTCAAGAACACCTCCGGTATGTCATTGGTGGATCTCGGTAAACGTCTGCTGGATGCAGCCAAGCGTGGTGAGACAGAGGAAGTACGAACACTCATGTCCAATGGGGCGCCCTTTACAACTGATTGGGTAAGTATATAATTACAACAGCAAACACAACATTCTTAACTTCCTCAATAATAAAGGATTCACCAGATCCAAGAACAGTTGTCTTTTTATCATGGTCTTGTCAACCTGTTTACAATATCATTCATGTACAGTTGAAACTCGAAATTGCTGGAGTCGAAATTCTGTTTGAGTCGAAGTAACTTTCAAGTCCCTATTTACATCTTTTTAATTTTAGTTCAGATGATTAAAATTTCAATGAGTCGAAATTTCTGTTGAGTCAAAGCGATTTTTCAGTCCATTCAATTGAACAGCAAGGGGAAAGTCATTGGTTGTCTCGAAATTCATTATTGCCAAAACATTGGCATGTCTTCTGACGAAATTGGTCAATACATACACAGAGTAGGAAGTAATCTATGCATAACACATGGCTAAGGAAGGCGTAACCCTCCATCATACACACAACACTTGGTCATTGGCGATTAATTACCAGTTTAATAATCCAAGGAAAGGTTGGCTTCTTAATTAGTGTCACCATCCTGAAGCAGTGACTTACCTGTACGTTAAAATACTAGCATGTTTACACAAAACATGGAAACATTTAGCTTGGTTGTGTGCATCTTTAGGAATGATGAAAACGAAACCGTCAAACAAGTACAATTTTTTTTACGAAATTTGATCTTCACAATGTGTGTGGGACGGAACGACGCGAGTACAATTGCATTTTATTAGAGGTGTTATTACATGTTTTGTTGTTTGGATGAATAAACAATAAAAGGAGAAAGTAGGATAAATTTATTTGTTTATTTACTGCCGTTTCAAATATCAGATCAAACTACACTGTTTGTGTGCTATCATAGCCCTACTTCATTCAATTGTAATCAACGTCAGAAAACTGATATCGTTGACCTTATTTATACACTTCGTTTGAGTCCAAATACAGTTAAATCAAAATGTTTTCCACTGTTCTTTGAATTTCGAAATAATGAATTTCGACTGTAGATGATTTTTGTTATCTCAGCTCAAGAAATCCTCGTAGCAGTGGAAACAAAGTGCCATTACACTTGCATGAGCCTGATTTCTGACCTTAAATTACCATGGCTACCAACTAGAAAGTATCACTGATTTTGACCCAAACCTACTGGTGCCAGAATGAGGTACTGGTTTGTGGTTCAGCTGGTATCAATGGACCATATAGATGAAAAATTTCTGCCAATCGGCAGATTTCCGCATTTTTCATGGCAAATTTGGTCATTTTTGAGATCGATGCAAATCTGGTGAGAAAATTTCAGGGGTAGGGAGGGGTTAGGTAAGTCTTGATGATGCATTTAATTTTTAAGCAATCTTCATCAATTCCGTTCTTAAATCCTTTGATTTATATGCCCTTATAAACTGTAAAATTAAACGTCGAGCAGTTTTGAGCACCGAGTTTCCGGTATTGTCAAATTGATGATACGAAGGAAGATAACTCTTACATCAGTCGAACGTGTGAAAGCTATAGTTGAATACAACAGATATGAAAAATTTCCACCAATCGGTGGATTTCCGCCTTTTCCGATGCCAGCCACTTTCATCTCTGATGGACGTTGTTTCCGCTTAGCATTTCAGCTGTATAATAACCACTTGCAGTGTCCTGTCCGACAAGCCAGCGCTCTCGTACTTCTTCACTTCAATACTGACAGTTGTGTAGAACCATTGAAAATAATAGAAATTTAACCTGTTGATTATGTAACCATTGTATTTGTGAAGGATGCTAAACCAGACTAAAAACCCCATAAACAGTAAAACATGACATCAAAATATCACTAACAATGGTAAATACTGGTTATTGTAAAATTATGTGATTTGGTGTATTTCTGTCAAACAGCTGAGCATTATGGGTAATATCACACTTTGCGGTATCATGTCTGAATCAGTTGTCTGGTTGGCATATTTTTGCTAATTGTCCAACACTTAAAACTACTCATTTGCTAGAAGAATTTGTTACTGAAACTTGTCAGAAAATTATCAGCACTGTCACCAACAGAGTACTCACATTTCAAGAAATCCTAACTCGGAACTACTTCACAACATGAAGTTTTGTTGACAATAAGGAAATCCCACTTGGTGTAAAACTAACATTTGGTGTGTAGACACAGATACAAGGAATAGCAATCTCTAACCTTAAACAAAATCAAATGGAGGAATAGGTATGAAATATGAAGCCCCACATTGTCGGCTTCAACATGGTTATACCAATTTTAGTGTAGGCAATGGAAGAGCAATGTGATGAAGAAGAACCCATGGCCAAGTATGTACTGCTACCTGGAGCTGCAGAAATGTTTCTGTTGAAGGCTTTATCAGTTTTTAATCTTTAGAAGATAGACTGCTTTGTGATTTGTTATTTTTTAGTGATACTCTTTTGTTTGATCTCTGTTGTGGTTTTATAGCATCATGATTTGTTTAACTGTTGTATGATCAAAGCATAAGATCTTTATCAGAATAATTGCCTGAGGTAAAATTATGTCAAGATGGCACAACAGACGGAGTGTTTGTTCCATTGAATATTTATATGACTTGCATCCTATCCTTATTTCCAGCTTGGCACATCTCCGCTACACTTTGCAACACAGTACGGCCACATAGAGACAGCAGAGATACTGCTGCGTGCTGGAATCAGTCGAGACGCGCGAACAAAGGTTGACCGGACTCCATTACATGTGGCTGCTCAGGAAGGCCATGTAGATATTGTGGAACTCCTCATCCAACACGCTGCAGACATTGACGCCAAAGACATGGTTAGTTATGCCAGACAAATCGAGAAATTACAAAAAAATTTAGGAAATGTCTTCCTTGGCTGTGTGTATAGGAAATGTCTGTCTTGTCTGTGTGTATAGGAAATGTCTGTCTTGTCTGTGTGTATAGGAAATGTCTGTCTTGTCTGTGTGTATAGGAAATGTCTGTCTTGTCTGTGTGTATAGGAAATGTCTGTCTTGTCTGTGTGTATAGGAAATGTCTACCTTGTCTGTGTGTATAGGAAATGTCGGCCTTGTCTGTGTGTATAGGAAATGTCGGCCTTTTCTGTGTGTATAGGAAATGTCTGTCTTGTCTGTGTGTATAGGAAATTCTGCCTTGTCTGTGTGTATAGGAAATGTCTGTCTTTTGTGTATAGGAAATGTCTGCCTTGTCTGTGTGTATATGAAATTCTGCCTTGTCTGTGTGTATAGGAAATGTCTGTCTTGTCTGTGTGTATAAGAAATGTCTACCTTGTCTGTGTGTATAGGAACTGTCTGCCTTGTCTGTGTGTATAGGAAATGTCTACCATTGTAGGAAATGTCTGCTTTGTCTGTGTGTATAGAAAATGTCTGTCTTGTCTGTGTTTAGGAAATGTTTGCCTTGTCTGTGTGTATAGGCAATGTCTGCCTTGTCTGTGTGTATAGGAAATGTCTACCTTGTCTGTGTGTATAGGAAATGTCTGTCTTGTCTGTGTGTATAGAAAATGTCTGCCTTGTCTGTGTATAGGAAATGTCTACCTTGTCTGTGTGTATAGGAAATGTCTGTCTTGTCTGTGTTTAGGAAATGTCTATCTTGTCTGTGTGTATAGGAAATGTCTGTCTTGTCTGTGTATAGGAAATGTCTGTCTTGTCTGTGTGTATAGGAAATGTCTGTCTTGTCTGTGTGTATAGGAAATGTCTACCTTGTCTGTGTGTATAGGAAATGTCTGTCTTGTCTGTGTGTATAGAAAATGTCTGTCTTGTCTGTGTGTATAGGAAATGTCTGTCTTGTCTGTGTGTATAGGAAATGTCTGTCTTGTCTGTGTGTATAGGAAATGTCTGCCTTGTCTGTGTATAGGAAATGTCTACCTTGTCTGTGTGTATAGGAAATGTCTGTCTTGTCTGTGTGTATAGGAAATGTCTGTCTTGTCTGTGTGTATAGGAAATGTCTGTCTTGTCTGTGTGTATAGGAAATGTCTGCCTTGTCTGTGTATAGGAAATGTCTACTTTGTCTGTGTGTATAGGAAATGTCTGTCTTGTCTGTGTTTAGGAAATGTCTATCTTGTCTGTGTGTATAGGAAATGTCTGTCTTGTCTGTGTATAGGAAATGTCTGTCTTGTCTGTGTGTATAGGAAATGTCTGTCTTGGCTGTGTGTATAGGAAATGTCTACCTTGTCTGTGTGTATAGGAAATGTCTGTCTTGTCTGTGTGTATAGGAAATGTCTGCCTTGTCTGTGTATAGGAAATGTCTACCTTGTCTGTGTGTATAGGAAATGTCTGTCTTGTCTGTGTTTAGGAAATGTCTTTCTTGTCTGTGTGTATAGGAAATGTCTGTCTTTTCTGTGTGTATAGGAAATGTCTGTCTTGTCTGTGTGTATAGGAAATGTCTGTCTTGTCTGTGTGTATAGGAAATGTCTGCCTTGTCTGTGTGTATAGGAAATGTCTTGTCTGTGTGTATAGGAAATGTCTACCTTGTCTGTGTGTATAGGAAATGTCTACCTTGTCTGTGTTTATAGGAAATGTCTACCTTGTCTGTGTGTATAGGAAATGTCTGTCTTGTCTGTGTGTATAGGAAATGTCTGTCTTGTCTGTGTGTATAGGAAATGTCTGTCTTGTCTGTGTATAGGAAATGTCTGCCTTGTCTGTGTATAGGAAATGTCTACCTTGTCTGTGTGTATAGGAAATGTCTGTCTTGTCTGTGTTTAGGAAATGTCTATCTTGTCTGTGTGTATAGGAAATGTCTGTCTTGTCTGTGTATAGGAAATGTCTGTCTTGTCTGTGTGTAGGAAATGTCTGTCTTGGCTGTGTGTATAGGAAATGTCTACCTTGTCTGTGTGTATAGGAAATGTCTGTCTTGTCTGTGTGTATAGGAAATGTCTGCCTTGTCTGTGTATAGGAAATGTCTACCTTGTCTGTGTGTATAGGAAATGTCTGTCTTGTCTGTGTTTAGGAAATGTCTATCTTGTCTGTGTGTATAGGAAATGTCTGTCTTTTCTGTGTGTATAGGAAATGTCTGTCTTGTCTGTGTGTATAGGAAATGTCTGTCTTGTCTGTGTGTATAGGAAATGTCTGTCTTGTCTGTGTGTATAGGAAATGTCTGCCTTGTCTGTGTGTATAGGAAATGTCTGTCTTGTCTGTGTGTATAGGAAATGTCTCCCTTGTCTGTGTGTGGAGGAAATGTCTACATTGTCTGTGTGTATCGGAAATGTATACCTTGTCTGTGTGTATAGGAAATGTCTACCTTGTCTGTGTGTATAGGAAATGTAGACCTTGTCTGTGTGTATAGGAAATGTCTTGTCTGTGTGTATAGGAAATGTCTACCTTGTCTGTGTGTATAGGAAATGTCTGCCTTGTCTGTGTGTATAGGAAATGTCTCCCTTGTCTGTGTGTGGAGGAAATGTCTACATTGTCTGTGTGTATAGGAAATGTCTACCTTGTCTGTGTGTATAGGAAATGTCTACCTTGTCTGTGTGTATAGGAAATGTAGACCTTGTCTGTGTGTATAGGAAATGTCTGTCTTGTCTGTGTGTATAGGAAATGTCTGTCTTGTCTGTGTGTATAGGAAATGTCTGCCTTGTCTGTGTGTATAGGAAATGTCTGCCTTGTCTGTGTGTATAGGAAATGTCTACCTTGTCTGTGTGTATAGGAAATGTCTGTCTTGTCTGTGTGTATAGAAAATGTCTGCCTTGTCTGTGTATAGGAAATGTCTACCTTGTCTGTGTGTATAGGAAATGTCTGAATTGTCTGTGTGTATAGGAAATGTCTGCCTTGTCTGTGTGTATAGGAAATGTCTTGTCTGTGTGTATAGGAAATGTCTACCTTGTCTGTGTGTATAGGAAATGTCTACCTTGTCTGTGTTTATAGGAAATGTCTACCTTGTCTGTGTGTATAAGAAATGTCTACCTTGTCTGTGTGTATAGGAACTGTCTGCCTTGTCTGTGTGTATAGGAAATGTCTACCATTGTAGGAAATGTCTGCTTTGTCTGTGTGTATAGAAAATGTCTGTCTTGTCTGTGTTTAGGAAATGTTTGCCTTGTCTGTGTGTATAGGCAATGTCTGCCTTGTCTGTGTGTATAGGAAATGTCTACCTTGTCTGTGTGTATAGGAAATGTCTGTCTTGTCTGTGTGTATAGAAAATGTCTGCCTTGTCTGTGTATAGGAAATGTCTACCTTGTCTGTGTGTATAGGAAATGTCTGTCTTGTCTGTGTTTAGGAAATGTCTATCTTGTCTGTGTGTATAGGAAATGTCTGTCTTGTCTGTGTATAGGATATGTCTGTCTTGTCTGTGTGTATAGGAAATGTCTGTCTTGTCTGTGTGTATAGGAAATGTCTACCTTGTCTGTGTGTATAGGAAATGTCTGTCTTGTCTGTGTGTATAGGAAATGTCTGTCTTGTCTGTGTGTATAGGAAATGTCTGTCTTGTCTGTGTGTATAGGAAATGTCTGTCTTGTCTGTGTATAGGAAATGTCTGCCTTGTCTGTGTATAGGAAATGTCTACCTTGTCTGTGTGTATAGGAAATGTCTGTCTTGTCTGTGTTTAGGAAATGTCTATCTTGTCTGTGTGTATAGGAAATGTCTGTCTTGTCTGTGTATAGGAAATGTCTGTCTTGTCTGTGTGTAGGAAATGTCTATCTTGGCTGTGTGTATAGGAAATGTCTACCTTGTCTGTGTGTATAGGAAATGTCTGTCTTGTCTGTGTGTATAGGAAATGTCTGCCTTGTCTGTGTATAGGAAATGTCTACCTTGTCTGTGTGTATAGGAAATGTCTGTCTTGTCTGTGTTTAGGAAATGTCTATCTTGTCTGTGTGTATAGGAAATGTCTGTCTTTTCTGTGTGTATAGGAAATGTCTGTCTTGTCTGTGTGTATAGGAAATGTCTGTCTTGTCTGTGTGTATAGGAAATGTCTGTCTTGTCTGTGTGTATAGGAAATGTCTGCCTTGTCTGTGTGTATAGGAAATGTCTGTCTTGTCTGTGTGTATAGGAAATGTCTCCCTTGTCTGTGTGTGGAGGAAATGTCTACATTGTCTGTGTGTATAGGAAATGTCTACCTTGTCTGTGTGTATAGGAAATGTCTACCTTGTCTGTGTGTATAGGAAATGTCTACCTTGTCTGTGTGTATAGGAAATGTCTACCTTGTCTGTGTGTATAGGAAATGTAGACCTTGTCTGTGTGTATAGGAAATGTCTGTCTTGTCTGTGTGTATAGGAAATGTCTGTCTTGTCTGTGTGTATAGGAAATGTCTGCCTTGTCTGTGTATAGGAAATGTCTGCCTTGTCTGTGTGTATAGGAAATGTCTGTCTTGTCTGTGTGTATAGGAAATGTCTGCCTTGTCTGTGTATAGGAAATGTCTGCCTTGTCTGTGTGTATAGGAAATGTCTACCTTGTCTGTGTGTATAGGAAATGTCTACCTTGTCTGTGTGTATAGGATATGTCTACCTTGTCTGTGTGTATAGGAAATGTCTGTCTTGTCTGTGTGTATAGGAAATGTCTACCTTGTCTGTGTGTATAGGAAATGTCTACCTTGTCTGTGTGTATAGGATATGTCTACCTTGTCTGTGTGTATAGGAAATGTCTACCTTGTCTGTGTGTATAGGATATGTCTACCTTGTCTGTGTGTATAGGAAATGTCTGCCTTGTCTGTGTGTATAGGATATGTCTGCCTTGTCTGTGTGTATAGGAAATGTCTGCCTTGTCTGTGTGTATAGGAAATGTCGGCCTTGTCTATGTGTATAGGAAATGTCTACCTTGTCTGTGTGTATAGGAAATGTCTGCCTTGTCTGTGTGTATAGGAAATGTCTGCCTTGTCTGTGTGTATAGGAAATGTCTGCCTTGTCTGTGTGTATAGGAAATGTCTGCCTTGTCTGTGTGTATAGGAAATGTCTGCCTTGTCTGTGTGTATAGGATATGTCTACCTTGGACATGAATGAGAAGTGATACTTTAAAATTAGGCTCACACATTGATAAAGAGAATGTAGTGAAAGTTTTACTTTGGATTTTTTTCAACAATCTTGCATTTTGTAGTTAAAGATGACGCCATTACATTGGGCAACAGAGAAAGGCCACCTTGGTGTGATTGAATCTCTAGTAAGACACGGAGCTGATACGAGTTGTGATAACAAGGTAGGTAACTCTAATCTGACTACACAGCTGATACGAATATTATATGTCTTGATTACAGACAGATGTACAAGTTAGTTACACTTTATATATGTCTTGATGACACAGACAGATGTACAAGTTAGTTACACTTTATATATGTCTTGATGACACAGACAGATGTACAAGTTAGTTACACTTTATATATGTCTTGATGACACAGACAGATGTACAAGTTAGTTACACTTTATATATGTCTTGATGACACAGACAGATGTACAAGTTAGTTACACTTTATATATGTCTTGATGACACAGACAGATGTACAAGTTAGTTACACTTTATATATGTCTTGATGACACAGACAGATGTACAAATTAGTTACACTTTATATATGTCTTGATGACACAGACAGATGTACAAGTTAGTTACACTTTATATATGTCTTGATGACACAGACAGATGTACAAGTTAGTTACACTTATGATATGTCTTGATGACACAGACAGATGTACAAGTTAGTTACACTAATGATATGTCTTGATGACACAGACAGATGTACAAGTTAGTTACACTTTATATATGTCTTGATGACACAGACAGATGTACAAGTTAGTTACACTAATGATATGTCTTGATTACAGACAGATGTACAAGTTAGTTACACTTTATATATGTCTTGATGACACAGACAGATGTATAAGTTAGTTACACTTTATATATGTCTTGATGACACAGACAGATGTACAAGTTAGTTACACTAATGATATGTCTTGATGACACAGACAGATGTACAAGTTAGTTACACTAATGATATGTCTTGATGACACAGACAGATGTACAAGTTAGTTACACTTTATATATGTCTTGATGACACAGACAGATGTACAAGTTAGTTACACTTTATATATGTCTTGATGACACAGACAGATGTACAAGTTAGTTACACTAATGATATGTCTTGATGACACAGACAGATGTACAAGTTAGTTACACTAATGATATGTCTTGATGACACAGACCAATTAAATAAGAAAAGAAATAATCTATTTGATCCTTTTCATTTGACTCCTGATTTAGTTTGACAAGACACCTCTTGATATTGCGGTCTCCAATGGACGGTCTGATATAGCACAAATGTTACAGTTAGCACAGGTAAGTACAACATACTGAAGAAATTTTAACACGTACATACATTGTTGTACCCGTTATTTGGAGTCCTATCTTGTTTCACTTCACCATTCCTGTGATTTGATATATTTAGACATTTAGTTCAAATGTATGTAAAGTTCAAGTAAGTAACTTCTAAGGCAAATTTTACTATTTATAGAAAATCATGAACTAATCTTAACATGATTTTTATCATTGATTTCTCAACTTGGAAACTGTATAGGTCTGTAATGATAGAACTCTGTAGTGTGTTTAGATAACAGATCTTCATTGTTTAACAGCACACAGAGATACAGGGTCTAGAGGAGGGAGAATCAGTGACCATAGAAACGACTGAGGTTGAGGCTGATGCCATTGAAACAGTTACCGTGACAACATCAGACACATTACAGTCTGAAGTTGAGAACAAAGATGTCCTCCCTGTGAATCTTTATCACAACATAGCCAAAACCTCCAAAGATGCCAGTAAGTTTGTGTCCTGTTTTATATCTTATCTCAGAGTATGAACATCATTTGTCACCTGTGGCTTTAAACATCTAAATCATAACATAAAATATAGTCACCCAGGTGGGTTTTGGACGAGATTTAAGTTTTCTAGATCATAACATAAAATATAGTCACCCAGGTGGGTTTTGGACGAGATTTAAGTTTTCTAGATCATAACATAAAATATAGTCACCCAGGTGGGTTTTGGACGAGATTTAAGTTTTCTAGATCATAACATGAAATACAATCACCCAGGTTTTGGATGAGGTTAAGTTTTGCACAGGGCTATATTTTATATAAACTAAACTTGACTTGACTTTATGAGTTCTATAAAGTCAGTGTTAGTTCACCAGGCCAGAAACAGAGATTAATGGTAAAGCAAGACCTCAAATCTAAGCAGACAACATGAACAAGCTAGACACCAACATTATCATTGGTCAGAACTATAAAGAGTGTGGTATAGGATAAATTATATGTCAGACATGAAGATTACGTAAAAAATGATGTGGTAGTGTTTACGTTAGATTGATATTTCTTTTTCATGATGGTACAATTTGAAAATGTGGCATGTAAAAATTAGCTCTGTTTTGAGAGAAATTTCCCAACGTTTTTAGTATATATTCTTGTTTATATATCAATGGGGGAATACTACCTTTTTCCGATAGTAAAGTTAGCAGCAGTGTAAGAATTTGGCCATTCAAAAGAGTTGTTCAGTAAAATAAAATCATAAAATATCCAAAGTTGGTGTGATGAATCATTTTCATCAGTTTAGTTCCTTGTGTGTAGAACTTTATAAAATTTGTTTATGACATGGTTACTCTACATTAGATGATGTGACAAACATACAGTGACTAACCTTCTAGTGTGTGCAAGAGTTATCTTTTCCTTAGCAATAACAGAATAACCAAATAAAAGAATTATTCGGAAATTAAACTAGTCGAGGAGGTTTTGTTTAATTTCAATTAAACTACAGCAGACAAAGAGAATATATTACCTTTTTATGTTGGAGATCAATTTATCTCAATCTCGGGCTGACTTGATATATCATTTGGAATTTCTTCAAATGAGATTTTGGGACAGAATGTCAGCCCTTGACTGAGATAAATCACTCGAATTCATACAGGTAGAACATTTTGTCAATGAAATATGTATGTGACAAAAAGATTTGAATTATAATAGCTACGTAGGCCCTGTACAGTTCAAATGTTGTCTACTAGGCCTCCTATGTAAACAAAATGATTTGATCAATTTTCTAGAGAGTTCGGACAACTCTTCAGTCCTGGCAACACTAGCAGCATTGGCAGAGGCGACTGCACCAGGAACAACAACACAAGGTAGTATACTAAGCCTTTATTGTGTTATGTACAGGTAAGGGGACATATTCCCTACCAACATGGTGTTAGGTACGGGTAAGGGGACATATTCCCTACCAACATGGTGTTAGGTACAGGTAAGGGGACATATTCCCTACCAACATGGTGTTAGGTACAGGTAAGGGGTCATATTCCCTACCAATATGATGTTAGGTACAGGTAAGGGGACATATTCCCCACCAACATAGTGTTAGGTACAGGTAAGGGGACATATTCCCCACCAACATAGTGTTAGGTACAGGTAAGGGGACATATTCCCCACCAACATAGTGTTAGGTACAGGTAAGGGGACATATTCCCCACCAACATAGTGTTATGTACAGGTAAGGAGACATATCCCCTACCAATATGATGTTAGGTACAGGTAAGGGGACATATTCCCTACCAACATAGTGTTATGTACAGGTAAGGGGACATATTCCCTACCAACATAGTGTTATGTACAGGTAAGGGGACATATTCCCTACCAACATTGTGTTAGGTACAGGTAAGGGGACATATTCCCCACCAACATAGTGTTATGTACAGGTAAGGGGACATATTCCCCACCAACATAGTGTTAGGTACAGGTAAGGGGACATATTCCCCACCAACATAGTGTTATGTACAGGTAAGGAGACATATTCCCCACCAACATAGTGTTATGTACAGGTAAGGGGTCATATTCCCTACCAACATAGTGTTATGTACAGGTAAGGGGTTGTATCACAAATAAATATTGTATAAGCAATAGGTAAAAAGGGTATCATGTACCAGTTGTATGTTAATTATGGATAAGGGTAAGAATAAGTAAGATTTTATGTTTGTAATTATATTATATATTGTAATTATACAAAAGCAATGCCCTTAATTGTAGGTGTGAACAGTAATGATGCCTTGAGCTGGTTAGAGAGTCAGGGAATCACAATGATTACAACATCTGAGGGAGGAATGATCACGTCAGCTGTGGAGAGTGGACAAACCATCACACTAACAGGTACAACATCTAACATTGTACAAACTATAACACTTACAGGTACTACATCTAACATTGTACAAACTATAACACTTACAGGTACTACATCTAACATTGTACACACTATAACACTTACAGGTACTACATCTAACATTGTACACACTATAACACTTACAGGTACTACATCTAACATTGTACACACTATAACACTTACAGGTACTACATCTAACATTGTACAAACTATAACACTTACAGGTACTACATCTAACATTGTACAAACTATAACACTTACAGGTACTACATCTAACATTGTACACACTATAACACTTACAGGTACTACATCTAACATTGTACAAACTATAACACTTACAGGTACTACATCTAACATTGTACAAACTATAACACTTACAGGTACTACATCTAACATTGTACACACTATAACACTTACAGGTACTACATCTAACATTGTACACACTATAACACTTCATGACAGGTGATGTATTGCAGATTAATGTTCATCTGTTGTTTAGCTCCCCTGGCCTAAACGGCCAAGTTAGCTGTAGTGACACTGTTGCATCCTTTGTCCGTCTGTCAACCCAGGGGACCTGCAGGGCCGGGCCAAATAGGGGAAATCAATCAATTTCTATAAAATGTATCTCATTCTTTAGGAACTGCAGGATATTGTCCCTGTTTTGTGTAAACAGTACATTTTGGCTCCCAAGGGCCAGATGGACGGGGCCCAATAGGGAAAATCCAACCCAAAGTAGATTTAGTTAATTTTCATATCATTGCTTTAAACCATTAACAATTCATTTGAATCTTTGGTTCTTTGAAACAGTTGTGATACCCATTGAATAACTATAGCATTGCTGAGCATCAGGAGATAAACACAATCATAACTAGTAATTTGTCCTTGGGTCTGGTCCCACCCCAGGACAGATTATATCTTTGAAGCCATTGAGATTTGCATCCTATAACTTAATAGCATTGCTGGACTTCAAGAGATTAACAACTGATCTCTGTCCCAACCCCTGGGGAATTTGAAACTGTATCTTTGGGGTGAGGCTCATCAGGGGAAATGCTTTCCTTCTACAGAAGTTTTGCTTTATTGACTTAATATTTAGATGAGTGATACAGGCCTTCTGGGCCTCTTGTTATGTTGATGATTAATTGTTACAGAAAACACAGATACGATATATTGTCGTACCTTTTACCATAAGTGATACATGTGTATACAGATGAAGTAACTTATCTGATCTGTGTTATATAGAGGCTGGGAAAATTGCCCTAAACCTGATTTGACAACTTATCTGAACTGTGTTATATAGAGGCAGGGAAAATTGCCTTAAACCTGATTAAACAACTTATCTGATCTGTGTTATATAGAGGCTGGGAAAATTGCCTTCAACCTGATTAAACAACTTATCTGATCCTTAAACCTGATAAAACAACTTATCTGATCTGTGTTATATAGAGGCTGGGAAAATTGCCCTAAACCTGATTAAACAACTTATCTGATCTGTGTTATATAGAGGCTGGGAAAATTGCCCTAAACCTGATTAAACAACTTATCTGATCTGTGTTATATAGAGGCTGGGAAAATTGCCTTCAACCTGATTAAACAACTTATCTGATCCTTAAACCTGATAAAACAACTTATCTGATCTGTGTTATATAGAGGCTGGGAAAATTGCCTTCAACCTGATTAAACAACTTATCTGATCTGTGTTATATAGAGGCTGGGAAAATTGCCTTAAACCTGATTAAACAACTTATCTGATCCTTAAACCTGATAAAACAACTTATCTGATCTGTGTTATATAGAGGCTGGGAAAATTGCCCTAAACCTGATTAAACAACTTATCTGATCTGTGTTATATAGAGGCTGGGAAAATTGCCTTAAACCTGATTAAACAACTTATCTGATCCTTAAACCTGATAAAACAACTTATCTGATCTGTGTTATATAGAGGCTGGGAAAATTGCCCTAAACCTGATTAAACAACTTATCTGATCTGTGTTATATAGAGGCTGGGAAAATTGCCTTAAACCTGATTAAACAACTTATCTGATCCTTAAACCTGATAAAACAACTTATCTGATCTGTGTTATATAGAGGCTGGGAAAATTGCCCTAAACCTGATTTAACAACTTATCTGATCTGCGTTATATAGAGGCTGGGAAAATTGCCTTCAACCTGATTAAACAACTTATCTGATCTGTGTTATATAGAGGCTGGGAAAATTGCCCTAAACCTGATTAAATAACTTATCTGAACTGTGTTATATAGAGGCTGGGAAAATTGCCTTAAACCTGATTAAACAACTTATCTGATCTGTGTTATATAGAGGCTGGGAAAATTGCCTTAAACCTGATTAAACAACTTATCTGATCCTTAAACCTGATAAAACAACTTATCTGATCTGTGTTATATAGAGGCTGGGAAAATTGCCTTAAACCTGATTAAACAACTTATCTGATCTGTGTTATATAGAGGCTGGGAAAATTGCCCTAAACCTGATTAAATAACTTATCTGATCTGTGTTATATAGAGGCTGGGAAAATTGCCCTAAACCTGATTAAACAACTTATCTGATCTGTGTTATATAGAGGCTGGGAAAATTGCCCTAAACCTGATTAAACAACTTATCTGATCTGTGTTATATAGAGGCTGGGAAAATTGCCCTAAACCTGATTAAACAACTTATCTGATCTGTGTTATATAGAGGCTGGGAAAATTGCCCTAAACCTGATTAAACAACTTATCTGATCCTTAAACCTGATTAAACAACTTATCTGATCTGTGTTATATAGAGGCTGGGAAAATTGCCCTAAACCTGATTAAACAACAAGGTCTCCAAGAGACAGAGGCAACAGAAATCAGTGAGGAGGAGACCGTTGGACTAGAGACTGAACAACAGGTGAGTCATAATGAAGATACTCAAAACCTGTAAACAACTTCTGTTGATTTACAAATGACTGACTTTTCCCCCACTTTCAAAGTGACATTGGTCAGACTTGTTAAAATCCTAAAAAAGATCCCAATTCCTTCTGATGTTGATGTTTGCATGGTTTATGGTTTTGACAAAGACATGATATAAAACTCTGCCTAGCTGTTTAAAAAAGCAACAAATGTGTGATCCTATTGGTATCAATAAATGATTGCTTATATTAACATATCAAACCAAACACTTTAATGTATGAAAGTAAGATTTGATGTGAAAAACCTTCTTTTTTTTTTTGTGATGGAATATCTAGAAGGTTATAACCATAGTCGCTGGTCATGACCAGTCTGAGCTGACGGCCGAGGAGACGACGGTGCTGGAGGAGATTGCTGGCGGTGGAGCCGGGGATGCTACCCTCACTGTTGATACATCAGTAGATACATCAGGTCAGTATACAGAAATGGTGTGTCTAACACAGGTTACCACTCATATCACATCTGTCTAACACAGGTTACCACTCATATCACAAGTCTCTAACACAGGTTACCACTCATATATCAAGTCTCTAACACAGGTTACCACTCATATCACATGTGTCTAACACAGGTTACCACTCATATCACATGTGTCTAACACAGGTTACCACTCATATCACATGTGTCTAACACAGGTTACCACTCATATCACATGTGTCTAACACAGGTTACCACTCCCATTGTTTTCTGCTCATTTGGATAGGTAGACACAAACAATATACGTTGAAATAGGACAGATTGCAGTATAAGTGATGTTTTATTTGGTTATAATTCATGGTTTTGGGAAGACCTTACATTGATATTATGTTTGCATCAGTGGTGTAGCGACTTCCTTTCTGAACTGATCAGACTTGATGCTGTAACTAGGTAATATTTCACTGTGAAGATTACTAAAATCAAGGTCACAGAAGTGAAACAATGACATTTATTTAACACAGGATTTGGGGTATGTTTTATCGGCTCATTTTATAATAGGTCTGATCCCCACATGTTGGTTTTAATTTATGGTTGTGTTTGTAGAGGAGCCCGCAGCCAAGCGACAGCGGACTGATGAAGGAGAGGGAGACTCGGCATCAGAGGATATACAGAAACTGCTTGATGTAAGCACAAAACACAAACTATAAATAAAAAATGATACCACACTATTGTAGTAAGGACTTGTAACGGTTACACTATTGTTACAGAACAAGGACAGACTGGAGAGTTTAGATAAAGATACCACACTATTGTAGTAAAGACTTGTAACTGTTTACACTATTGTTACAGAACAAGGACAGACTGGAGAGTTTAGATAAAGATACCACACTATTGTAGTAAAGACTTGTAACTGTTTACACTATTGTTACAGAACAAGGACAGACTGGAGAGTTTGGATACCACACTACTGTAACCACACTATTGTAGTAAGGACTTGTAACTGTTTACACTATTGTTACAGAACAAGGACAGACTGGAGAGTTTAGATAAAGATACCACACTATTGTAGTAAGGACTTGTAACTGTTTACACTATTGTTACAGAACAAGGACAGACTGGAGAGTTTAGATAAAGATACCACACTATTGTAGTAATGATTTGTAACGGTTACACTATTGTTACAGAACAAGGACAGACTGGAGAGTTTAGATACCACACTATTGTAGTAAGGACTTGTAACGGTTACACTATTGTTACAGAACAAGGACAGACTGGAGAGTTTAGATACCACACTATTGTAGTAAGGACTTGTAACGGTTACACTATTGTTACAGAACAAGGACAGACTGGAGAGTTTAGATACCACACTATTGTAGTAAAGACTTGTAACTGTTTACACTATTGTTACAGAACAAGGACAGACTGGAGAGTTTAGATAAAGATACCACACTATTGTAGTAAGGACTTGTAACGGTTACACTATTGTTACAGAACAAGGACAGACTGGAGAGTCTAGATAAAGATACCACACTATTGTAGTAAAGACTTGTAACTGTTTACACTATTGTTACAGAACAAGGAAAGTCTGGAGAGTTTAGATACCACACTATTGTAGTAAAGACTTGTAACTGTTTACACTATTGTTACAGAACAAGGACAGACTGGAGAGTTTAGATAAAGACACCACACTATTGGAGTAAAGACTTGTAACTGTTTACACTATTGTTACAGAACAAGGACAGACTGGAGAGTTTAGATAAAGATACCACACTATTGTAGTAAAGACTTGTAACTGTTTACACTATTGTTACAGAACAAGGACAGACTGGAGAGTTTAGATAAAGATACCACACTATTGTAGTAAAGATTTGTAACTGTTTACACTATTGTTACAGAACAAGGACAGACTGGAGAGTTTAAATAAAGACACCACACTATTGGAGTAAAGACTTGTAACTGTTTACACTATTGTTACAGAACAAGGAAAGTCTGGAGAGTTTAGATACCACACTATTGTAGTAAAGACTTGTAACTGTTTACACTATTGTTACAGAACAAGGACAGACTGGAGAGTTTAGATAAAGATACCACACTATTGTAGTAAAGACTTGTAACTGTTTACACTATTGTTACAGAACAAGGACAGACTGGAGAGTTTAGATAAAGATACCACACTATTGTAGTAAAGACTTGTAACTGTTTACACTATTGTTACAGAACAAGGACAGACTGGAGAGTTTAGATAAAGATACCACACTACTGTAGTAATGATTTGTAACTGTTTACACTATTGTTACAGAACAAGGACAGACTGGAGAGTTTAGATAAAGATACCACACTATTGTAGTAAAGACTTGTAACTGTTTACACTATTGTTACAGAACAAGGAAAGTCTGGAGAGTCTTGATAAAGATGCCCTGCGTAAACAGCTTGAGGAGATCCAGAAACAAGCCGAGAATTACAAACAGCAGCTCAAACAGAAGGAGGAGGAGGCGGAGGAATACAAGAAAAAACTGAATCAAATTGGCACCACTAAGGAAACGCCGTGACACCGAGATCAGCCGGAACGGGAGAATGTTGATCTAACAGTCCTAATTCTGAACAATTACTGATCCACTATTGTGCTCTGTTGAGGACAGTCAATGTGTGATTCCTGTGGGATATCAGTCAAGAGAACGTTGAGGGCCTCTTTGATAGGAAAGGCCTGTAGTTAGTTTCTCAGTCCTTAACGAAGACATGTCAACTAGTGGGAGAAATTATTTATTATAATTGAGTGGAATTTGTCAACAATTTCTAGTGGAGAAGAATTTGTCAACAATTTCTAGTGGAGAAGAATTTGTCAACAATTTCTAGTTGAGTGGAATTTGTCAACAATTTCTAGTCAACAATTTCTAGTGGAGTGGAATTTGTCAACAATTTCTAGTTGAGTGGAATTTGTCAACAATTTCTAGTGGAGAAGAATTTGTCAACAATTTCTAGTGGAGAAGAATTTGTCAACAATTTCTAGTTGAGTGGAATTTGTCAACAATTTCTAGTTGAGTGGAATTTGTCAACAATTTCTAGTGGAGTGGAATTTGTCAACAATTTCTAGTGGAGTGGAATTTGTCAACAATTTCTAGTGGAGTGGAATTTGTCAACAATTTCTAGTGGAGTGGAATTTGTGGAATTTGTCAACAATTTCTAGTGGAGTGGAATTTGTCAACAATTTCTAGTGGAGTGGAATTTGTCAACAATTTCTAGGACTTCAGTCAATTAAATGAGAAGATTACTTGGCAGCTGGGAGGGAGATCATTAATATGAAAGAACCTGGTGAGGGATGTTACGTTAAAATATCCATCACACAAAATCATGTATGGATGGTAGATACTGTAGCATGATACAGCAGAACATGTTTATAACAAACGACAAAATGAGTGCTCTCCAATGTATAGATAAGAATTTAATTGTACAAAGAATTTCTGATAATGAATACTGTAAATCACTCTATATTTCGCGTGTTATACCTTTTCATATTATCACAAACTGCTAGAGAAATGTTATTTATAAATTCAAACATCTTTATAATCTATACTTTTAAATGACATCCTGGTATTGCTGCCTGTGGAACCTCACAAATTTAAACGTAGCATCATTCAAATATACAGCTCAAAATTACATTTAACAAGGATGAGGAAACTTTGTGTATACAATGATAATACAATGTACAGTGTACCAATGTCACAGCCTGAAACCCCATTAATGCAGAACTATTGTCCATTGTTAAGATTTTGTGTCCAATCAGGTTGTTTTCAAGGAGAATCAATCAGTTTCACTGATTCTCTTGTCTTTCACTATCTTTTGCATCTGATAGAAATGTAATCGTGTAGATTGGATGACATACAATTTCTAGGTAAATCAATGACATTATATCAAAATATTTCTGAGAAAAAGAAGCAAATATGGTCGCCAAGTACGTTTGTATATCTTTACATGTTGATTGAATTTTTCATTCAGTAAAATAATTATTTACACATTGATATGTTGTACATTTATGTGATAGATCGGCTGTAATGAGCAATATTTACGTGTGTAACAAACTGTCCCTGTGTATAAACATGTTTTACTGTATGTAGTACAGTTTGAAGTTATCACTTTGGTTTATGATATCTACTGGGAAAATGTAGAGATCCACATCAATCAGATGTTTGATTAGAATAGTCTTTACCAGGTGTACCAGGGTATGAAGAAAAGCTTAGGAAATGAATCAGATCATTATACAAAGTGCTAGGTGATGTGTACATTAGTTTCAGGTGGTGTTACCAGAGAAACCTAATCAGGTTTTGTATTGATTGAAACTGGGTTTCATTTAAAAAACAAGCGAGGTAATTGTCTGTTAAATGTATGTTTACCTAAAGCTCCAACAGTAATGAATATTAAGAAGTTAGCTTTGAGTAACGGGAGCAAGTGAAACACTCGACTTAATTATTTAGTGTGAAGCATCATTGCATTACATTTTTGTGTATAAATGGAACAATGAAGGTGTGGATGGATGTATGAGAGAAAATTGTGTTGTAAAATGTGTACAAGTGTACAGAGGTTGACAGTAAGTATATAACAACTGTCTCTAGGATTTTACTTATTTACAAACAGATATCAATTGATGAGAAATCTGAAGTTAGGATTTAAAACGCTAAGTCATTCCAACATTCTACATTATTATAAAACTAGCTGCCTTTGCTGTGCAACTTTTCCAAGGAAATGTTCACTAGAATCCTGATAGATTGAGCCTCATGCTGGGATCATTTAGTCTTGAAATCATTCAGATGTAAAAGGGCCAACAGTCAGCAGAATTTTTCTGTACATTGAAACTTGATATGTAATAATACATACATAATCTATGTAGACTTTTTTTTCTGTAACCGAGGTGAATGAATGCCTGGGTGTTCCTAGCCATTTTTGAAGGCATAATCGTCTCGGTTAATATTCATTGTCACTTTCCAGTGAGGGTTTCTATGTGATAAATACACTGCTGCCCTACTTGTGCTTTTATAACAAAATCATTATTTATGTATAAAGATAGTTGTATCAATTCATAAGATAAAGATGTTACTGGTTATTTTTAGATCTGTCTTTGTGACTGTTCAGGTCCAATATCACCAATACAAAACTCTGTACATCCTTTCTCTCTGTCCTAATCACACAATGGTAGTCCAATATAACACCAATGTGTGTACCCAGGATAACTCTGTACATCCTGATTCTCTCTGAATCTAACACCTTATGTGTGTCCTTAATGTTGAAGGAGATGACACAATGATATGTAGTCATATCTTACGTGTCCTGATACCAGAATCTAACACTGAGTTCTATAGATGTGTGTACCCTTAATGTTGAAGGATATGACTTTGGTGTTTCTCTAGTTATAAATGAATCTAACACTGAGTTCTATAGATGTGTGTACCCTTAATGTTGAAGGATATGACTTTGGTGTTTCATCATGTATGTATATGTAGTTATATCTTACGTGTCCTGATACCAGAATCACCTTCTCTGTTTAAATGAATCTAACACTGAGTTCTATAGATGTGTGTACCCTTAATGTTGAAGGATATGACATGTATGTATATGTAGTTATATTAGGTGATACCAGAATCTAACACTGAGTTCTATAGATGTGTGTACCCTTAATGTTGAAGGATATGACTTTGGTGTTTCATCATGTATGTATATGTAGTCATATCTTACGTGTCCTGATACCAGAATCACCTTCTCTGTTTAAATGAATCTAACACTGAGTTCTATAGATGTGTGTACCCTTAATGTTGAAGGAGATGACTTTGGTGTTTCATCATGTATGTATATGTAGTTATATCTTAGGTGTCCTGATACCAGAATCTAACACTGAGTTCTATAGATGTGTGTACCCTTAATGTTGAAGGATATGACTTTGTTGTTTCATCATGTGTGTATATGTAGTTATACGAATGTTTTCTGATGCAATGAATTGTGCTTTAAATTATATTTTATCTTTAAAAAAAATGAAACATTTTAACATATCAAAAGTGTTTTGTTTTACTTGACATAATGAAGGGCTTAGATCCATGCCATAATGCTTTGATGACTGATATCTGTATTATAAAACTTCAACAAGCTGATATTTCTGAAATCAAAACACAAAACTTCATACTGAGGTTATTTCTGATAGCCTGAAGTTTGAATTTCCATTATTATGCCAATATAATGCTACAAATATCTTACAGTGTATATCAATTCTTATCATCACTTTTTCTAGAGACGTGGATCATCGCCAAATTTGATCTGGAGGTTCCCCATGGTTCCTGATTGTGCATTTTCTACTTTCAGACAGATTAATAAATTGAGATGGCTGACAGGTAGCCATCTTGGATTTTATCAGCTATAGTTTATTACCCATCCTCTTGGTTCCTAGTTGTACCTTTTGATTGTAGGACTGATCAGAAAAACGAAATGGTTGACAGGCAGCCATTTTGGAGTTTACAATGAAAAAACATATTTTTGCTATTTCTTGAGAAAAACTGGATGGTTCTTTCTCAGATTTTATGTCAGTTTCCCTTGGGACCTAGTTGTGCCCTTTTGATTTAGGGACTGGAAAACCAAAATGACTGACAGGTAGCCATCTTTTATTTTGACAGTGAAAGTTTATTATAGCTATCTGTGGAGAAGTACTTTGATGAAATCACTCAATACAGTTTATAAAGCTAGGTACAATATACATAACCACCTACTTGTGAATTATGTCACTCGAATGGGTTTACATAAGCTTTGGTAGGAACATTTCTAGTGTCATGAAGGCATGAAAGAAAAACCTTTTTGCAAACTGAATGAATGTGCATATTCCTATCAACACTTAATATTCATTTCTTAGATACTTTTCAAAAAACTTTATAAATGAATATTTTTTAAAGAAATCACCAAGCATAACAGCTTGTACGACATAACATGACGTCATTGACAGCTGATTAGCACCATTTTCATTCATCTAAAATTCATTCACATTCAAAACAGATACAACAGACAACATAAAAATACATCCTGTAATGGTAAGTTGGGCACAAAATTTATATGGTGACTGTTTTGATCTAAAAGTGTAGTATAAAACTGATTAAAATACAGATCTCAATTTACCACTCCAATACTTTCCGAACAGATGGTATAGGTATTGAAGTGGTAAATTAAGATCTGTGTTTCAATAAGATTGGTGTAAGGTTGCTTTCAGCTTGAAGTTCAAAATGTGAACCTAAAAATATGAAATAAATCTGAAATCTGTTACATTGTAAGAGGTTTGAATATTGTGTGATTTAGTCATTTGCTTGTTTTAGTTTAAACATATTTTATTGCTAAGTGTAAGAGCCAAAGGATTTGACACAAGTTATTTCAACTTACGAGGTCTTCTCCTTAAGAAGAATTTGTTTGTTCAAATGACAGTGTTCCTACACCTGGTGAATATAAACCTATATTCCATTCATAAAAAAAAGTTCCAACAGACCAACCCTGTGGTGTTTATAAATTCCAGGCCTACCACATACCTAAATAAACTCCGAATACCAGAAGCTGCAGAACAGGTGAGCGATACATGATATACCATAGTAGGCTGATTTAACCCTTTTTCGTTGACTGTTGACTACAGAACTTTCCTTTTACCAGACGAGAATAAAATCAATAAAAACGTTCTTTGAAAATCGTGGACTTTTAAACAGTTTGATCATGGACGACAATGAGTGATCGCTCCAAGTTATTTTCCGGATATAATCGACTGATGTTGAGTCCATTAATTTTACGATTAGTTTGACTATTCAGGCTCACAGAAGCGCTTGTCGATCGACGTTACTTTCGTTTTTGTCAGCAAAGGAGATGAGCTCAAGGAGAGAGACCGTCGTCATGTAACAATACCATGTAAGTAGGATTTCACGAGACATACTGACATGTAAGTATGATTAATGGAAAACAACGCTTACACGAATTAATTCCATGTGATCCGAGTAATTTCATCAGATAATTACATCATGATGATGAAATCGTTTTTGTGTGTCAGTTTCAATTGCCTACAGGAAATTTTCTTTTATGACAAGCCCCAAAACGTATTCCTTCATGGAAGCAGTGATCTGGACCACAAATAAACTCTTCCCAAAACACCAACAAAAATGGGTACTCTAGTGTCGCTCTTCTTAAAATGGTATCAAAGATAAATGGACGAAGGAATTGGACAAAAGCAGAAGTGTCAATACTATATGCCTTGATTTTCAAAGTAAGTGTTTCGATATGATTCTGAATCAATGATTATTAGCCAAACTCCATAGTTCCAGAATTGAAAGTGGTGAACTGAAGTGGTTTGTTAATTAAACTCCATAGATACAGTATTACAAGTGGTGGACTGAAGTGGTTTGTTAATTACACTCCATAGTTACAGCATTACAAGTGGTGGACTGAAGTGGTTTGTTAATTACACTCCATAGTTACAGCATTACAAGTGGTGTACTGAAGTGGTTTGTTAATTACACTCCATAGTTACAGCATTACAAGTGGTGTACTGAAGTGTTTTAATCCTGATTTCACAGGTACACATGTCAAGGTCCATGGCAACTGAGTTAACATGGCTGGTGTGACTTTTGTATTTCGATGCCGAAAGTGCCGGGAATATGTTTTAGATTCTCAATGTGTTGTTACTATACATGGACAGCAGTATCCTGTGTCTTGTAAGTATAGAAATCAGAACAAATAGGCAAATATAATAGCAGTAAACAGTCATCTTCTACAGAACAAATAGTAAACAGTCATCTTCTACAGAACAAATAGCAGTAAACAGTCATCTTCTACAGAACAAATAGCAGTAAACAGTCATCTTCTACAGAACAAATAACAGTAAACAGTCATCTTCTACAGAACAAATAGTAAACAGTCATCTTCTACAGAACAAATAACAGTAAACAGTCATCTTCTACAGAACAAATAGCAGTAAACAGTCATCTTCTACAGAACAAATAGTAAACAGTCATCTTCTACAGAACAAATAAAAGAAAACAGTCATCATCTCCAGAACAAATAGTAAACAGTCATCTTCTACAGAACAAATCATCTTCTACAGTAAACAGTCATCTTCTACAGAACAAATAGCAGTAAACAGTCATCTTCTACAGAACAAATAGCAGTAAACAGTCATCTTCTACAGAACACATAGCAGTAAACAGTCATGTTCTACAGAACAAATAGCAGTAAACAGTCATCTTCTACAGAACAAATAGCAGTAAACAGTCATCTTCTACAGAACAAATAGCAGTAAACAGTCATCTTCTACAGAACAAATAGTAAACAGTCATCTTCTACAGAACAAATAACAGTAAACAGTCATCTTCTACAGAACAAATAGCAGTAAACAGTCATCTTCTACAGAACAAATAGTAAACAGTCATCTTCTACAGAACAAATAGCAGTAAACATTCATCTTCTACAGAACAAATAGCAGTAAACAGTCATCTTCTACAGAACAAATAGAAAACAGTCATCTTCTACAGAACAAATAGTAAACAGTCATCTTCTACAGAACAAATAGCAGACATTCCTCTTCTACAGAACAACTAGCAGTAAACAGTCATCTTCTACAGAACAAATTTGTAAACAGTTCTTCTACAGAACAAATAGCAGTAAACAGTCATCTTCTACAGAACAAATAGCAGTAAACAGTCATCTTCTATAGAACAAATAGCAGTAAACAGTCATCTTCTACAGAACAAATAGCAGTAAACAGTCATCTTCTACAGAACAAATAGCAGTAAACAGTCATCTTCTACAGAACAAATAGCAGTAAACAGTCATCTTCTACAGAACAAATAGCAGTAAACAGTCATCTTCTACAGAACAAATAGTAAACAGTCATCTTCTACAGAACAAAAGTAGTAAACAGTCATCTTCTACAGAACAAATAGTAAACAGTCATCTTCTAGAACAAATAGCAGTAAACAGTCATCTTCTACAGAACAAATAGTAAACAGTCATCTTCTACAGAACAAATAGCAGTAAACAGTCATCTTCTACAGAACAAATAGTAAACAGTCATCTTCTACAGAACAGTAAACAGTCATCTTCTACAGAACAAAAATAAACAGTCAGTAAACAGTCATCTTCTACAGAACAAATAGCAGTAAACAGTCATCTTCTACAGAACAAATAGTAAACAGTCATCTTCTACAGAACAAATAGCAGTAAACAGTCATCTTCTACAGAACAAATAGTAAACAGTCATCTTCTACAGAACAAATAGCAGTAAACAGTCATCTTCTACAGAACAAATAGCAGTAAACAGTCATCTTCTACAGAACAAATAGCAGTAAACAGTCATCTTCTACAGAACAAATACAGAACAGTAAACAGTCATCTTCTACAGAACAAATAGTAAACAGTCATCTTCTACAGAACAAATAGCAGTAAACAGAACAAATCATCTTCTACAGAACAAATAGCAGTAAACAGTCATCTTCTACAGAACAAATACGAGTAAACAGTCATCTTCTACAGAACAAATAGTAAACAGTCATCTTCTACAGAACAAATAGCAGTAAACAGTCATCTTCTACAGAACAAATATCAGTAAACAGTCATCTTCTACAGAACAAATAGCAGTAAACAGTCATCTTCTACAGAACAAATAGTAAACAATCTTCTAGCAGTAAACAGTCATCTTCTACAGAACAAATAGTAAACAGTCATCTTCTACAGAACAAATAGCAGTAAACAGTCATACAGAACAAATTAAACTATCTTCTACAGAACAAATAGCAGTAAACAGTCATCTTCTACAGAACAAATAGCAGTAAACAGTCATCTTCTACAGAACAAATAGCAGTAGACAGTCATCTTCTACAGAACAAATAGCAGTAAACATTCATCTTCTACAGAACAAATAGCAGTAAACAGTCATCTTCTACAGAACAAATAGTAAACAGTCATCTTCTACAGAACAAATAGCAGTAAACAGTCATCTTCTACAGAACAAATAGCAGTAAACAGTCATCTTCTACAGAACAAATAGTAGTAAACAGTCATCTTCTACAGAACAAATAGCAGTAAACAGTCATCTTACAGAACAAATAGCAGTAAACAGTCATCTTCTATAGAACAAATAGCAGTAAACAGTCATCTTCTATAGAACAAATAGCAGTAAACAGTCATCTTCTACAGAACAAATAGCAGTAAACATTCATCTTCTACAGAACAAATAGCAGTAAACAGTCATCTTCTACAGAACAAATAGTAAAGAGTCATCTTCTACAGAACAAATAGCAGTAAACAGTCATCTTCTACAGAACAAATAGCAGTAAACAGTCATCTTCTACAGAACAAATAGCAGTAAACAGTCATCTTCTACAGAACAAATAGCAGTAAACAGTCATCTTCTACAGAACAAATAGTAAACAGTCATCTTCTATAGAACAAATAGCAGTAAACAGTCATCTTCTACAGAACAAATAGCAGTAAACAGTCATCTTCTACAGAACAAATAGCAGTAAACAGTCATCTTCTACAGAACAAATCGCAGTAAACAGTCATCTTCTACAGAACAAATAGCAGTAAACAGTCATCTTCTACAGAACAAATAGCAGTAAACAGTCATCTTCTACAGAACAAATAGCAGTAAACAGTCAAAGAACAAATAGCAGTAAACAGTCATAGAACAAATAGCAGTAAACAGTCATCTTCTACAGAACAAATAGCAGTAAACAGTCATCTTCTACAGAACAAATAGCAGTAAACAGTCATCTTCTACAGAACAAATAGCAGTAAACAGTCATCTTCTACAGAACAAATAGCAGTAAACAGTCATCTTCTACAGAACAAATAGCAGTAAACAGTCATCTTCTACAGAACAAATAGTAAACAGTCATCTTCTACAGAACAAATAGTAAACAGTCATCTTCTACAGAACAAATAGCAGTAAACAGTCATCTTCTACAGAACAAATAGCAGTAAACAGTCATCTTCTACAGAACAAATAGTAAACAGTCATCTTCTACAGAACAAATATCAGTAAACATTCATCTTCTACAGAACAAATAGCAGTAAACAGTCATCTTCTACAGAACAAATAGTAAACAGTCATCTTCTACAGAACAAATAGCAGTAAACAGTCATCTTCTATAGAACAAATAGCAGTAAACAGTCATCTTCTACAGAACAAATAGCAGTAAACAGTCATCTTCTACAGAACAAATAGCAGTAAACAGTCATCTTCTACAGAACAAATAGTAAACAGTCATCTTCTACAGAACAAATAGCAGTAAACAGTCATCTTCTACAGAACAAATAGCAGTAGACAGTCATCTTCTACAGAACAAATAGCAGTAAACAGTCATCTTCTACAGAACAAATAGCAGTAAACAGTCATCTTCTACAGAACAAATAGCAGTAAACAGTCATATTCTACAGAACAAATAGCAGTATACAGTCATCTTCTACAGAACAAATAGCAGTAAACAATCTTCTACAGAACAAATAGCAGTAAACAGTCATCTTCTACAGAACAAATACAGTAAACAGTCAGAACAAATAGCAGTAAACAGTCATCTTCTACAGAACAAATAGCAGTAAACAGTCATCTTCTACAGAACAAATAGTAAACAGTCATCTTCTACAGAACAAATAGCAGTAAACAGTCATCTTCTACAGAACAAATAGTAAACAGTCATCTTCTACAGAACAAATAGTAAAATAGTAAACAGTCATCTTCTACAGAACAGTAAACAGTCATCTTCTACAGAACAAATAGCAGTAAACAGTCATCTTCTACAGAACAAATAGCAGTAAACAGTCATCTTCTACAGAACAAATAGCAGTAAACAGTCATCTTCTACAGAACAAATAGCAGTAAACAGTCATCTTCTACAGAACAAATAGTAAACAGTCATCTTCTATAGAACAAATAGCAGTAAACAGTCATCTTCTACAGAACAAATAGCAGTAAACAGTCATCTTCTACAGAACAAATAGCAGTAAACAGTCATCTTCTACAGAACAAATAGCAGTAAACAGTCATCTTCTATAGAACAAATAGCAGTAAACAGTCATCTTCTACAGAACAAATAGTAAACAGTCATCTTCTACAGAACAAATAGCAGTAAACAGTCATCTTCTACAGAACAAATAGCAGTAAACAATATCAGTAAACAGTCATCTTCTACAGAACAAATAGCAGTAAACAGTCATCTTCTACAGAACAAATAGTAAACAGTCATCTTCTACAGAACAAATAGCAGTAAACAGTCATCTTCTACAGAACAAATAGCAGTAAACAGTCATCTTCTACAGAACAAATAGAAAACAGTCATCTTCTACAGAACAAATAGCAGTAAACAGTCATCTTCTACAGAACAAATAGCAGTAAACAGTCATCTTCTACAGAACAAATAGCAGTAAACAGTCATCTTCTACAGAACAAATAGTAAACAGTCATCTTCTACAGAACAAATAGTAAACAGTCATCTTCTACAGAACAAATAGTAAACAGTCATCTTCTACAGAACAAATAGTAAACAGTCATCTTCTATAGAACAAATAGCAGTAAACAGTCATCTTCTACAGAACAAATAGTAAACAATCTTCTACATAGTAAACAGTCATCTTCTACAGAACACAATCTTCTACAGAACAAATAGTAAACAGTCATCTTCTACAGAACAAATAGCAGTAAACAGTCATCTTCTAC